TGTATCACTGCGATAAATTTAAGCAAATGAAATTTTCTGACCGAGTAAGTTTGGTAAAAAAGCATCAGCTTTGCTATAACTGTCTTAGAGAATTTCATATACTATCTCAGTGCAATTTCCGAAGTTCTTGTTACATTTGTAAGAAAAAAAAATCTGATCATCATACATTGTTACATGTATATTCATCACCAGATTCCAGCAATTGTAAAGGTCTAGACATCATGGGAATGATAGAGCTTCAGAAACAAAATCAACAAAACATAAATGCATCAAAACAAAATCAACAAAACATAAAGTCAATTGATTTGCATCTACCAGAAAATGCTTGTTTTCTTTCCTCTCAAACAGAAATAATTAAAAGTGCTTTGATAAATACTGTAATAATTTATGTGCAAAATGCAACTGGTAAAAGCAAACCTTTGAGAGTGATTCTAGATACGGCCTCTGAAAACTCATTTATGACTAATAGAGCAGCCAACGCTTTGGGTTTGAAGAAAGAAAAATAAGCATTCTAATAAGTGGGTTAAATAACACATCACTGAACATTACAAAAAAGTTTGTTTATCCAACGAATGACAGTGGGAAATTGACTTACTATATAACATAACTAATTTAAGACCTTTTAAAAGAATTAATGTTTCGAATTTTTACATTCCAAGGAAAATCAAACTTGCTGACCCATTATTTCTTGTTTCTCAAATGGTGGTCGATATTTGTTGGGAGCTGAGTTATTCTTCTCAGTTTTGAGATATGATAAAATAAAATTGGGAGACAATTAGTTCTTGCAATCAAGCTGTTTTGGCTACCTTGTTTCGGGTAGTATTTGAGACAATTTGTATTATACACCAAAACACTGTTTCTTGTCTAAAAATTTAGAAACTCTTAATAAAACCCTCACAAGCTTCTTGGAAGTAAAAGAAGCAGAACCATGCAAAACTTGCAATGATGAATTAAATTATCGAACACTTAGTGAAAACACATTAGTTAGGAAATTCTAAAGAAATAGCATTGAAAAGACTAGATCAGTTGTGGACACACTTGGCACAGGATCCTACTTTGAAATTGCTTTATGTGGAATTTCTTAATGAATATGAAAATTTGCATCATATGGAGGAGGTGAAAGAAGATACATTTATAAATGAAGAGCATTATCTACCACACCATGGCATACTGCGTCCCACCAGCAAAACAGCTAAACTATGCCTGGTCTTCAACACGAGTTTGAAAATGTCCAGCGGGCATTCTTTAAATGACTTATTGTCCAAAGGAGAAGATCTTCAAGAAGACCTCTTTTCAATTCTAATTAGATTTAGAAATTCTGCACGTAAATTTTCGCCTTTATACTGCTCAAACAGTAAAGGCATCAAACAGATGTTCAGAATGACTGAAGTTAGTCCTTTGCAAGCTAAGCTTAAAAAAATCTTAAGGAAAGATAGCAAATTCATACCAATTAAGGTTTACCACTTACGAACTGTAATTTATGGGACTGTGTCAGCCTCATAGTTAGCCACTTAAGTTTTACAATTTGCTCTAGATGAGGGAAAGGACTTTCTTTTACCTTCAAGATTTCTACACAGATGATTGTCTTTCTAGTTCTTCAGAATTCAACGAGTTAGAAAACCTTATGTCGGAATTAAAGCAGCTTCTCCAAAGGAGAGGAATGACTTTGCACAAGTGGTGCAGTAACAAGACACTAACCACTGAACTGCAAGAGTTCATGCTTGATCAAAATTCTGAATAATATTAGTTAAAATGCTAAGAAAGTTTTGGAATAGTTTAAGCGATTCCTTGACATATAAAGTAAGCATAAGTGCTAATTCTAACTTCACCAAAAGAGGTCCTAACTTCACAAAAACTATCTCAAATAGCACACATCTGTGATCCACTTGAACTCTAGCGTCCTGTTATTGTTAAAGCAAAACCTTTATGCAACAGTTATGGTTGCTTAAGCTAGATTGGATTGAAACTCTACCTCCAAATATGGGAAAGTTCAATGTTCAATGGTTCTGAACAATGGGAAAAGTTCATTAGAATACTACCACATTCGGAATATAGTCATGTGCAAAGATGTTTTTTAAAAACTGATTCCAAGTTGGTAGTACTTCAAGGTTTCTCAGATGCATCTTCAGAGGCTTACGGTGCAGTGATATACATCCAAACTGCGTCCAGCACCGGTGAAGTAAACTGTACACTCAGCAGCAAATCATGCGTTGCTCCTGCAAAATTCATTACAATTCCACGTCTAGAGCTTTCTGTGTGCCTTCTTCTTGCAAAACTAATGGAAAAGGTTCTAACATCTGTTAAACTTCACACAGATTCTGTGAAACTGTACACTGATTCTACAGTAGCCCTGCATGAATCAAGACCCCTTCAGATTTGTACACAACCGAGTATCACAAATCCAGAAGATATCTAAGGATTTTGAATGGCACCATATTCCTTTAGAGTTCATCCCTGCAGATATGATCTCTAGAGGACTGGAAGTTAAAGCATTTGCCACTAGTGAACTTTGGTGGAAAGGACCAGACCTTTCAAAATTAAATTTACCTATTCCTCATACTTTGCAAAACCCCAGTAATTCAACTCAACTTTATACTGATGAACTCAAGACTGTTTCTAAAGTGGGATTAAGTTTAAATAATGACTCTTTTTTTGATAGCTTACATAATATCAGCAACAATTTTCATAAACTAATTAGAATTTCTGCCTTTATTTTTTAGATTTTGCAGAAGATGCAAGTCTCCTAAAATTCACACAAGGGGACTTACATGTGAAGACTATGAAAAAGCAGAAAATTATTTGCTAACTTACCCACAGGTAAAGTATTTTCCTGTGGAGATATTAGCTTTAGAAGGGGGATCTTCAGTTCCACTTACAAGTAAGCTTAAATTTTTTAACCCTTTTCTAGATCCATCAAATGGATTAATAAGAGTTGGCGGTAGACTTTCACATTTAAATTTAAATTCTAAACATTCAGTATTCTACCAGCTAGAAATAAACTAGTAACTCTCATATTTCAATACTATCACAAGCGAGATTTTCACGTAGGTCCTCAAGCCCTACTAAATACTGTTCGTTTTAAACATTGGCAACTTGGTGGTAGAAGTATGGCATGAAATGTCATCCATGAGTGTGTGGGAGGCTTCAAGAATAACCCAGTTGTTGCAACCTAGTTAAGGAAGATCTTTCCTCAGAGCTCCTATCCATATTTTCAAATGTAAGAACAGATTTATGTGGACCCTTTGAAATTAAATACAAAGGGCAGAGAAAGGGTACCTTTAAAAAAATCTATGTAGCTATATTTGTATGTATGGCGACTAAGGCTATTCACATGGAATTTGCGTCAGATCTTACTTCAGAAGCTCTAATTGCTGCCTTAAAGAGATTTTTTGCATGATGCGGCAACAGTTCAATAATTTTTAGCGGTAAAGCAACGAACTTCACTGTAGCTTCCGCAGAGTTAAAACATTTGCATAAATTAATGTTAAACGGTGAGGAAATTTTGAGCCTGTTAGCCTCAGAAAGGAAATTTTTGCCCCCTACGGCACCTGATTTCGGCGGCCTTCGAGAGGCGGGTGTAAAGGCCTTAAAGTACCATTTAAAGGGAGTGGTTAACTCTAGAAGAATATCTAACATTAATAGTTCAAATCGAGGGCATCCTCAATTTGCGGTCACTCTCACCCTTATCTACTGATACAGATGATTTTCAAGCATTCACTCCTGGACATTTTTCTGATAGGGAAACCCATAAATGGCATCTCAGAAATAAATTTAATTGACAAAAGAGATAATCTTCTAAGCAGGTGGCAGAGGACTCATAAATTAGTTCAAAACATTTGGAAATGCTGGCAAAACAGCTATCTAAGCCATCTACAGCAGTGCTTTAAGTGGGTTTTAAAAGGCCAAATATAACTTCTGGAATGCTAATTTTACTAAAATGAACTCTGAAATTCTCATCTGCAATTAGTCTTTGGCTCAAATTATTATGGTAATTCCAGGCTCTGAAGGAAATGTCACAGTTGTAGATGTACGCACGGCATTGGATATTTTCAAAAAACCAATTTAAAAAATTTGTTTTTACTCATTATGGATAACTATATTTCTACTGGTGGATAATTTATTTTGTTCTCAATGAATTATTATTGGTATATTTGTTGAATTTTGTGTCATTATAAGTTTGTATTCATATGATTTTTTCTTTAAATTTGAAGTAATGTAATATTTCAATGTTGGCAGGATGTTCTGTACATGTTAACTTTATCTTTGACTGATGGAGCACTTTCCTGTTACATTTTTGTTATTGTGCATTTATTATGTTAATCTGTTAGATCTGGCAACATGAAAATAATGTATAAGTGTAGTTTTGAGAATTAGTAACTGGCATATTCGGCTACGTAAAAGAATGTTTCCTAACCAGATGTACTAGCTGTAATAACTGTTTCTATTCTCTTAAAGAATAAACAATTAAAGGCAATCGCTAATAAATGCATCTTGTTTTTAATTACACTAATGATACACAAATACCTTATAGGTGATGGCACAAATATGCCCAACTGCCTTCCAGTTTTGAAAAAGAATTTCTTGGCAGACCAAGGAAAATTTAGAAGCATCATACTCTAACCAAACAATTTATGAAAACTGCATGACCTTCTATCACAGCCACAGTACTAAATATCACACAGCATTTCCAAAATCTCATTCGGCCCATGAGCCCTTTGTTGGATATCATCCACCAAGGTATACAGAACAGTTCAGACAGTGAAAGTGGGATCTACATGAATTTAGGTGTGGGTAATCAAATGCTTTGACCAGTTGATAATTTTTCCAGCTAAAACCAATTTGGCTCCATAATTTGATTGTACTTGACAAAATTTACTGTAAAGGCAAATATTAGTAGTCGCAAAATAAAGAGTTAAATTTAACTTTACAAATAAAATAGCTAATTTGAGAACTGAATGGTGAAGAATATTGATTTCAAGATTTTTAATTAAATTACTTACAGTTTTTTTGACTTCTGAGGAGTTTTCTGCTTCAATCGTTTTCGCTTTTGAAAAGTTGTTTCAGATTCAATGCATTTTTCTTTCATAACTGCATCATTCATGTCTTCATCCCACTGCATTTTGTTAACAGATTCAGTTGCAGCCATTGAAGTATCAACTTTTACAACTTCATTTCTAATTATAAAATGAAAGGCATAAAGTTACTAGTAACATATCCAACACAATTTAAATGAATAATAATAATGTTCTTAATTAAATAAGCTATTTTAATGTGATACATTAAAATAACTTATTTACTAAATGCTCATCAAGTTACCACCATATAATTAATACATCAACAAAACTGTCAGTTATTCACATTTTTTTGTTTTTGAAGGCTGTGAACTTGATAATTATCAAGTTGAAAAATAAGCCCGTTTAAATGCTTAGATATGAAATATTCAAAAACAATTATTTTTTATAATAATATGAATTATTTTGAAACTTTTATATTATGACATGTACAAACTGAAAAGATACCAATGTAAAAATGACTCATGTTTTAATTTACCTGAGATTTGTTATGTATTAATTTGAGCCTACAGCTTTTATATATATTGTGAAACAGTACGAATTTCAGCACCTTTTCAATTATAAACATCTACATACAAAAAACAAATGTCGTTTTTATAGATGTAAACAGTAAATGTTAAATCAAACATATTTTAAACAATGCAGCATTATATTGATAGTTTAAACACACACACACATATTAAAAAAAAAAAAAAAAAAAAAAAAACTTACGTCATAAACTGGAACAAGAAAGGCACAACTGTTTTGTTCTTAGGCTCAACTACATCTGGGAACTGCGCCATAGCTTTCCACAGTAATAAACGGTGATTTATGATATCCGGATTTTCATCTCGTTTGCAAAATTTAGTTAAACTTTGGTAAAAGGCACTGTAAGTTTCACTTTCATTTCCTGTTTCACGTGATGAATCAGCGTTCTCTCCAGTTTCTAAAGAGAAAAAGTGTAATCAGAAATAACAATTATGCTCAAGTCATATTTCGTTTAAGAAAACTTAACAATCATCTTGTTTAATCCTTCAAATTGCATTTAAAATTAAGTATTAGTAAAATTTCGAGCCTCCTTTAGAAATCAACAAGAAAATGAGCAAAATAAAAAAGGGATAATATCTCAGAAATCAATATTAGATAATCCACACATAGTAGTAATCTTAAATAGTTCTCAATTACAATATTTTTAAATCGTATTTTGTGATAGACATTATGATTTTAGTTTATTTTTCATAACTTGTTTCGAAATATTATATCTAATTTGATCTGTTTTGAAATAATACATCTGCTGATTGATAAAGACCATTAGAAAATATTTGAAAATTCTATCATGTGCATCAATTAACATTTACTTTCCCATTCTAAAAAATAAATCTAATAGTAAATAAGCAGTTATAAAAGACATCTTTCTATTTATTTTAAAACAGGTATTAGCTTAGTTCATTAATGCATTCATTAAAGTTCCTTGAAAGAAATCAAACTGACTTTATCTTGAATGTACAGATCAGTAACATGAAAATGTTCAGTAAAAGTCTGAAACAAACACATTTAACAGAGTGAAAATCACATTGGAGCATTTGAGATACTGCAGAAATACATTTCAAAAACTAAAATACATGCATCAGGAGAAATGAGATCCAAACCACTTAAAATCCCGATCATCATGTTAAAAATTATCAATGCTTGCCGTCAAAAACTCCTCTAAAATCATAGGCTTTTTTACAAAGTCACACAATTTTGACTGATGTTTACTGATTTTCTAGGGCTGATCTCTAGAATTGTTTTGTACCTTTGTGTCTGTTCACAACTAATGTTTAAACCAAAGATTTAAAACAGAAGCTCCAGAAATTACTTAATTTAGCAACATTTAGATAAATGTACTTAATTTTATCACCAGGCAAATTTTGATAACTGCTATTTTTCAATTTTGCTAGAATCACTGTATACTGTTAGAGATTATAAGCATACCATTTCATTCATTAAATGCAATATAATAATTAAGTACAAAAATAAGTAATTAAAAATACACAAATTCGCACCGATACAAAACAAGTACAGATAAATAAATATGCAGCAACTTCCAAAAGAATTATACAAATTTGACTGCATATCTAACTGCCTGACAACACACGTTTTGGCACTGTAAAAGAATTCACATTTATCTGGAACACTCACATGATATTATTATTTCTCTCTTTTTTTCAAGCAAACAACAGAACAGTTTGCATGCAAAGTTAGGATTTGCTGTTTAATCTTGCACAAAACTTTCTTTTTATCATCAAATCATTTAGGAAACTCATAACACAAATAAGAGCATTTTTTTTATTTATAAAAACTTTTTTTTATGAAAATTGCTTCTAAATTTCTAGAAAAATATAATTACATTATTAATTTTCAACTGAAAACTCTGTACTTATTTACTTACCACATAATGCTGTAATTTTATTCAAATGTTCAACAAAGATATTCCAAAATAATTCAGTTGTTCCATGAGCATAAGTTTCTAGTACAGATATAGATGGATCCCATAGCAATTTAAAATTGATATATAAATTGCCTAGAAGATAATATACAGGAACCTAGGGGGAAAATTATAAATATGGTGCAATCAAAACAAACTTCAGAATTCAAAACATTTGTTTTAAAGAAATTAATGACATAAAAATAAATGAAGACAAAATTTAGTGTTTTATGCCTGACTAGTGGGCCAATCAAATAAAATTTATAACTATGAAAATACCTCGCATGAAAGCTTACAATACATTAAAAAAATTATTTTTTAGAAAGCATACCAATAAGCAAAAACTGTACATTTTTTCATACAAACAGCAAACTTACTTTCTTCAGAAGTGTATCATATATAATAGGAATATTTTTTTCTACAAACTGGTATTCCAATTTTCTGAGCCATTTCACTTTTTCTCTGTAAGATTGTACATCTAGTGGAATTCTCTCAGCTTCAATACAGATATTCAAAACAGATTCAGACTAAAATAAAAACATATGAACAAATAAATAAAACATTACATTAAAAAATTAGTTATTAAGTTATCAAATCTTACATCTGAACAGTTTTAATCAAAATTTTACCAAGAACTTCAATTTAAACAAGAATAGAAATAATTAACAGAGTAATGCAAAATACTACAAACCCTGCCTTCAGATTGTGTCGGTGACAACTCAAGAGCATTCAATATTTGTAAAGTAAAAAATCGCTCCTGTAAAAGAACAACAGTTACTTTTAAAATCTTTCAGAATTTTATAACTGTAATAATGTATTAGCAAATGTAATTGAAATGCAAATTATATGAAAAAATAAACATGACTTCTTTATGAATTCAATTTTATACAATTCATTCACAGATTACTATAAAGATGTAGTATATATTTATAATAATAAACTGGTACAATGAGAGAATTTAGTAGAACCATTCACTAACAATCATGACTAGAGTGGCGGGAATGCTGATAGCAGATAGCTTGACTCTGGGGCATAGTAAATAACTGGAACTTTTTTGAAGAATAACAAAATCATGATAATCTGAACAGCTCTTTATTACTTGTTGATTTTTATCAATGTATCTTATTTCATTACATGGCACAGTACAATGAGGGCAATCTGCATCCCACAATTTTAAACAACGTAGTAACATGTTTTAAGCAATGAAGAAGTTAGTAAACACATAATTTAGCAGGACAGTGCAAATTTGAGAGAGGATGTGCAAGGCAGCTGAAGTATTTACACTCAGTTCTTTGTTTGAGTTCTAAATGATGATTGGATAAAAGTTCACAGTAATGCAGATCTCTGAAGGAAAAGAAATGCTGCATCAGTGTAGATGTGAATGGGGTTGTATTTATATTCAGACTAAAAATATAAAAGTATATTGCCAATTAAGTGTCTTTCATATTTTATATATACCGTACAACTCCAATTATCCGAACTCCAACTATCCGAATTGCTGATTATTCGAATCACTTTCAGAATTTAAGAAAAAATTGAGACTAAAAAAGAATAAAGAATGTGGCTACATGCAACTTCTCATTGTCAAGCGGATGCGGGACTTGACTGCCTGAAAACGGATGAAGACAGTCAAACAGCTTACTTTGACTGAGATGTTCAGCAAGCAATGACTTTTAGCACTTGTAAGTACTCTACAGTATGCTGTATAACAGGGTTTCTTAAACTGTGGGTTGTGACTTGCAGCAGGGGGTCGCCAAAAATTTTAGCAGTTTTGATATTTCTTTAACTTATTATAATAATTTTAGAATTACAATATATTTTTACACAATGTATCTGAAAATTGATAAACTAAGACAATGCAGACAAAAAAAAAAAAAAAAATTTCGATGCATTCTTTTTATAATATAAATGTTAATTTTCCTTGCTTTTCACATGACGCTGTCATTTCATCTGTTACTTATTTAAAATTTCCACATTGTTCTATGTCTTAAAATTAGAAATTAAAGTTCCTAAAACTGCAACAGTATATTACAGTACAAGTGAAAAAATTGAATTTCACTCATGCGTGTGTTGGATTTGTACAATACTTAATGAGATCCCACAAAATTTTTGTAAATGTTATGCGGTCCTTGGGGTCACGAAAAAATCTCAGTGATAAAAAGGGGTCGTGACTGAAAAAGGTTTAAGAAACCCTGCTATATAACATGTAAGTAAAAGTGCTGCTTTTTTATTTTAATTAATTTAAACCCCTTCTAAAATAGTTTTTCCTCCCAATTTTCAACATAGAGTACGTGAAATTACTAATTAAAGTGTATGGTAGACCTTTTCTTTGGGAAAATCCAATTATCTGAATTTTTTATTATCCGAATGGGGTCTGGTCCCCATTGATTCAGATAATTGGGGTTCTACTGTATATACATATGACAATTAAATTATACTGAAAATTAAAATTACAATCTTCCAAAGTATTAGAAAAATGCTTCAGTAGCTTAATGTGCAAAAATACTAGGTATGTTTATATTTTGTTTTTTAAAAAATTGTTTTGTAGTTATATATATAAACTTAAAACATCTAAAGTTAAAATTAAATTGGAATCAAAGCAAGGCACATTTTGTTCAATTTTTGTTTCAGATAGGTTTTGAGTTTTTAGCTGTTCTCAGATTAGATTTTATATTATTACTTATAGAAATCTTTTTTCCAAGTGTTTTGAATGCATGTAGGGAAAATTCTGGATACATTTGAGATTTGATTTTTCCGTTTTAAATGAATTTTAATGTCTTGAATGAAAATTTAATTGCATCTTTTTTCGGCTTTTGATCTCAAAGGAACCAGAAGAATGAAACATGTATTCGAAATATATTAATCAACTTCTATGAAACTTGAATTCCTTTTTCCCCTGATGAGTTCTGAATTGAAGCTTCAGCAAAAGGAGATTAATTTTCGTATTTTTATAATTTTGTATATTTTTCCCTTTTTGCAATTTTATTTTTAGAGTTTGTCTTACTGATGAATTCTTATGTGTTAACCTCTTATCCACGGTTGAAATTATTAATATTGTTGAGGAATTGCCTTGCTTTGATTCCAATTTAATTTTAATTTTAAATGCTTTAATTTACTTTAATCCTGCAGCTATAGTGCAGGACTGGTTAAAACATTTGTCGTCTTTAATTTTTGGCTTATTACCATGTTACTTTATATATATAAACATTTCTTTATATTCATTTTGTGCTATTATAGATTTATTTATTTATATTTTACATAACAATAAATTTATGTATACTTGTTTTGGGTACAGCTGAAAACATCGTGGACAAAAACGTCATGGAGTAAACAACACCAGATGAGAATGTTGTGGGAGAAAAGAAAGCAAAGAGAAAACAGTGCAGTTCTAAAACATTGGGATATAAAATATCATCATTGAAAATAAAGCGGCTCAAAAACTTTGCAATTTAAAAATATTGTAGTCGAAAATATTGTGGTAAAAAATAAAGTACCAACAAATCATCGCATGACTAAAACATTGCAGGCATGCATTTTTCAGGCTTTAGTAACTGTAAATGTATACTCACATAATGATCTGCGAGCACAAGATAGAAAGAAGGTTAATTTTTTACTTTCATATTTTTTATTAACTAATAAATTTTTGCTGAAAAAGGAAGAAGGAAACTTAAGCATAGAAAATTAATGCAACTTGGAGCACTTTAATAGAATTTTAAACTTACATAGTTAACTAACAAAGGTCATTAATAAATTACTTTTATACAGTTTTACTGGTAAATTTTCTTGAAAAATATAGCCTAAAAAAGATTAAAAAAAGGAAGATAAGTAATTGAATCAGTTTGTCTATTAAAAATATTGCTTAATTATTTATCAAATTATTTTCTTTCACTTTGGTTAATCTGATATTCTTGCAGTGAAAATTGTTCCTTATTTTGTTTCAGTTTATTCTTAAAGTGTGATTAAAATTTTTATTCACAGCCTGCAGTCAGTTACTTGGATGTCGATTTATTAGGTACGATGAAAGTCTGCTACATATAATATTTCAGTAGGGTTTGGATTTATTATATTATGCCAAAGTATACTATGGCTATCTGCTTAAGGGGTGGGATTCATCTGGGAGTACATTCTCAATAACTGATTCATATACACATTATACTTCTGGAAAATCATGAAAATCTCATGCAGTCTTTTTTCCCCCCTTTTCAGAAATAATGTACATTTGCAGTAAACCCTCTTGATGACTATCCCCCTGAGATAAACAGTGTTTTTGAGAACAATAAACATAGGTTTTAATCATTATGCAAGTTGACCACACCCACACAAGTTAAAAAGATATAGAATTTTGAGTGTTTCACTTCAACTAGCATTGTTTGCATTTACTTTTAGATTTAGATATTCCTTATAAGCTCTTAAAATGTAGTATTTAATTTTTTATATACATTTTATTCGAAAATTTTACAGTCATTTATTGAACTTACAGTGAACCATCTTCTTAAGAAAATTTCTAATATTTTAGATTATGTTTGCTCCTGAAGAATTACCAGTAAAACTTTATAAAAAATTATTTACTAATAAATTTTTTTGGTTAACTATGTAATTTTAAAATTTCATTAAATGCTATAAGTTGCATTAATATTCTATGCTTAAATTTCCTTCTTTTTTTTTAAGCAAAAATTTATTAGTTAATGTAAAATATGAAAGTAAAATTTATCCTTCTTTCCAACTTGTGCTCACAAATCATTATGCAGATATCCATTTACGGTTATTAAAGCCTGAAAATTGCATATCTGCGATGTTATAGTCATGTGATGATTTGTAGGCATTTTATTTTTTACCAAGATATTTACGACTACAATACTTTCAAACTGCGAAGTTTTTGAGGAGTTTTATTTTCGATGATGATATTTTGTACCCTGATGTTTTCTTTTCTCCCATGATGTTTTGTGTGATGACGTTTTCACCTTGCATTGTTTTCTCAGCTACGTTTTTGGCAGACATCACTTGTTTTGTATTTTGCATTTTTATAAATCTTAATATATTTGCCTTGTTTTTACCTGCATAACTCTTTGTTATAATTAGTTTCAGCTTATGAAATTTAGCACAAATAATTTTCAGAACCAAAGATCATAAGATTTGCCAAACCTGATAATTCGGATATTTAAATACAGATTTATTATAATTTTGTTCTTACATCGAGAGGGAATTAAGTACTTACCAAATGATAAGGAGATGCCAAGTTAGGTATGACATATGAAGTTAGTTCTTCACATGTTATACCTAACTCTTCTAGAGATGGTAGTTTCTTGTAGCTTCTCAAATGCAAGTCCACCATGCGCAGAACCCCAAGAGATCTGGAATGTTTCCTTGAAAAAGACATTAAAAATTCTATAGCAATGAATTCTGATAAACAAACACATAAGAAACAAAGTAGACTACTTGCTGCACTATTGAAAAATACTCTGAGGAGAGTTAAGCTGAGATCACTGAGGTAAGTGTAGTGCACAATTTACTCTATATTTCATCATTCTTCTTCATATTGAACACTATTTTGGAAACTGATTTGCCTCATTTAGATATTCCCTATAAAACTGCTTGAAGCTGAATGGCTATTTTTATCACTTCACAAAATCTTTCTTTCTGCTTTTTTTGGGGGCAGAGCGACATGAGAGTGATGAGATAAATGCAACTTATGAGCAACTACCTAAGCATTTAAATTATCAATCTTTGATGAACTGGTTTAGTAAAATCTTCCTAAGTACATGTGGATAGAAAGGGGTGATAATATACAAATGATATATAAAAAAATGAGTTCACAGAAATAGTCATGAACTCCTTGCTGACTTTTGACAGCATTCTCATGAACTAACTAATTGGTAAAATAATCTTTCACTACGCAAGGCACAAAAGGCAACAGCCATTTTTAAAATGGAGTCACACTAAGAACTCCATGCAAGAGCGATTAGTCAATAAAACTGAAGAAGCAAGAAACCTCAGTAATAAAACATCCACTTTTTTGTTTCCACATACAATTTGTTTTCATTTAAAAAAACATTAGAAAATTGCCCAAACTCGGAATTCGTACATTTTAGCATTGTGAACTGGCCAAAACAGACATGGGCTATGCACATACCTAGGTTGCCACGTACATACTTTTTGGAATATTGTGAGTTGCCACATAACTATTTTGGCAACATACTGCTTTGCCTCATGAATATGTTTTGTGACTTTTCAATAAGGGTGCAAATAATCACAAAGTGCCAAAACAGCAAACCATTATTCATAATCTTTAATTTATTTATTGCTTTCAATAATTAACATTCTTAAAAACAGTTCCTAGCTACAGACCTTTGGCTAAAAAACTGTAATGGAATACACAGTAATTATGTTTAATGCAACCACCTTAGCACAATTTGGCGATTTCTTACAGATGGAAAAGTAAAAGTTACTTATTGGATGTAAGTTAGTGGTTTTTGCAGCCATTTTTTCTTTCTTTTTTTTAAACAGATTCCCAAACTATTAATATCATGTCAGTAAACATTATCAATATACGAAAAGGAAACACACTTTACAATTTAAAGTATAAATTTTAATTATTAAATAAGGATTACATGCTACATTCAAAAATAAAACACTTATACTATTCTTCAAATCTTTCCATAATTTTTTTTTGTATTATTCTTTTCCCGAAGTACACAGCAATCTTTTTTCGCTTTAAAAAAAAAAAAAAAAAAAAAAAAAAAAAAAAAAAAAAAAACAGACAATTTTATAGACCCGACTTCATGCAAACCTTGGAAACTGTTATCTAGGAAATAAATTTCCTCATTGTTCCCTTTAGACAGTTTTCAGCAATATTCTATACCCCTGCAGAAATTTTACCAAAGTCTGTTTTATTGTTCGCAAATTCCACAAGCTCTTATTTTAAAGCAAAATATATAACGATTTGTTTATAAAAACCATTAGAACTTGGAATAAAACAAAAAAGAATCCATACGAATATGGCAGCATTGCTTGACTGAAAGACTGTTAGGAGCATGATTGCTGGAAGAATGGTGGCCAATATTTGGCACATTCTGAAAATCTGGTGACATCTACAAAAGTGGTTGCATTAATATGCAAGTAATGAATACATTTCTTGCAGGATATATTTACTGTTATGTTTACAAGTTAGGCTTATTCTCATAAATCTCATTTCCAAAAAGTATGGATTATCAACAACAAAACGAATGATGGGGCTTTCGCTTGACCACACAGCAGCAGCATTGAAGATATTTTAAACACTAGATATATTTGAACTATAGCACGAATAAAACAATACTGGAATATATAGTATTTTCAGAAAATTCTAATATTATCATGTTAAAATTTTTTTATCACGTAATAAGCATTAACACAATCTGAATTTTAAAGCAATCCAGTAACTATATTTTAAAATTAATCCACAACTCATTATATAATTATGCATAGAAGAAACTGGAACATAATATATAGCTATTTAGAAATTTGTGCATGAAAACTCTACTTGCATTAAAAAAATTAATTTGATTATTTATTGTAAAAACACTTTTCTTCTCCCAAAACACACATTTAGTTAATTTTGTATTGTTTATATGACATACTATACTTACTTTAATAAATCGATGAAAAATTTTGTATTAAAACAATTTTCTTTTTCATAATCTGCTGTAATGACAAGGAACACAAAATATGCTTGACAAAGTATAAAACTCCATTCTTCAGCATGGTCAAGGTTAGTAAACTGTGTAGACAGTAAATATTTATGCATTTTTACTGCTAATTCCTGAAGTACCTTAGATACATATTCAATATTAAGAAACCTAAATAAGGAATAAAAAATAATTTTATTTACACATATGTAATTGAAAATTTATGCAACAATGAATGCATTTCAAGTAGCTAAACTGGTAATCTTCATGAATTCAAAAGCAATATAAAACAAATATACAGAAAACTTCCTTTATAAAATTTATTTATAAATAAACATATTATATTAAAATATTTAAATTAATATGCATTTGATTGATTTGAAGCATATTGTTTTATGTAGTTTGGAAAAATGTTTTGTAGAATACTTATGTATATATACAATGAATGGCAAGAGTATGGAACTGAATCAATGAATGAAAACAAGAAAGGATATCCACTTTTTACTTAAATCTAAACTCTTTATTTTTGTATAATTTTAGTTTTAAAAGTAAAATGCATTTTTACAACACTAATATCTGATATGTAAATTGCATACAGGAATAGTGAACTGTCAAATCTTAGTTTTGAAAACATGAGACTCCAGGAGATGATTTTCATTGATAAAGCACAGGCATTAAAGTTTGCATTATAAATATCTTCTTGAAAGGGCTAAATTATCAAAAATGAAAACATTTTCATTGAAAACTACTGGTAAATAATAATAATGTTAATAAAAATTAAAAAATTCTGCAGTACACCTTAAATGAATTTTTATATGAGAAAAGTTGGCTGTGACTTTCCACTTATATCAATAACATTCCAGAAAAAGGTATTTAAAACTGGAAACTTATAATTAATTACCAGATATTGTTATTCTTTTAATTATATATTTTGAATATTATTTTAAAAAATACCCATGCACTTAAATTACATTAATGATTTCAGTGTATTTTCTTAGCTTCATACATTGTTAAATAATTTAAAATTAGTAACCCTAACAAAAATTAAATTTAGTCTTTCTTACAGGGCCGGGACTGATAATAAGAAATGCACATTACTTTCTTTATATGATTTAAATGAAAACAAAAAGTTATAAGAGGAATTCTAGAAGTTTTAAATATATTCAAACATAGTTCCACTATTAAAAATTATGAAATATGAGCCACTTCACTTCTATTTTACATGAAAATTAACAACCTTCAAACTATAAATTTGTTTTAAAAAACTAATATTTTCAGACTATGTAATCAAACTCTAAAATAACTAACTTTTTTTTTTTTTTTTTCTTTTTAAATTTGGAAAAATCATTTCAACTATTTTGCTTTATGGGGGATTGGGGGGGGGTGTAGAAGAAAGAATGTTGTTGAAAAACTCCTTTTTATGTGTCTGTCTCTGGTAAAATAGTTTTGATAAACATAACAAATTTTGGATTAATCAAATCAATCAATTTTGATATATGCAATTTTTTGGCATAAATACAATCCCCCAAAATAATCATATGATGTGACACATGAGAGACACAAATTAAAAAACACATAATATACTTTAGCTATTTTCATTTTTTTCTTGTGACCTCTTAAAAGCTGAACTGTAACTTTTGCTTTCCTTTACTTTTAGCTTAAGTAAAAAAGATCAATATCAATTAATAATTTAAATCTTCATTAAAATTAAAATATATGTTAAATAATTTAAATATAAATAAAAAGAGAATGTATTTTGATTGCCAAGAACAAGGATTCAACTTCTTCAAAAGAAAGACATTTTATGAATACTTGGCTCCAAAGGTAATGAATTATTGCAGCTGTTTGGTTTGAAGAAGAAACTTTTTGTTATAATACACTGATAATGAAAGTCAAAATATTTAGGTGCTAGAGACTTGCTTTATATACAGCTCAGCATGGAGGTCAATATACAATGCAAGTTTTTAGTTTTCTGGACTTTGCAATCCAGCCCTGACATATGCCTTAACACAGATGAGTTGTTGACAACTTTTTATTCAATTGCTCTACATGTTAACTAAAACTAAGCATTTCTTCTATACCTAGACAACAACAGGTGAACTGTGATACACCAACCTCATTTTCACCTTTTAAATTAACATTTACAGGTTTTCCTATGGTTTCTTTTCATTTATAATAGCAACAATCAAGTCATGATTTATGATTTAGTAAAATTTTGAAAATATTGTCAGCTCTGTTCCTCAATCACAGGTCATTTCAAGGTAGACAGATATTTCATAAATTACAACAAAGAATTCAATTACAGCAATCTTATCTTTATGAAGGATTTCAAGGAAAGTGACTCATATTAATTATCATTAAAAGGAAAGATCATAATTCATGCAGACAATCCAGTAGCAACTGAGAACGAAAGAGATTCTGTTTTATCCACTCAGCCATTGGTAGGTTTCTGATGTAATATAAATTCAAAACTATGGCGAAAGATTTCAGCTTTCTCAAGAAAATGAGACCTTTGTTAAAAATTCTAAAATGGGGATGCTGGCAAATATTTGGGGAAAATAAATTTAACTTTTTTTGAAAACTTTTAAGTAGTTGATAGTTTAATGAATTTTTATAATATGTCACCAAAACTCTGGATGTAGTATCCACTGAATCAAATTAACTTGTATTACATGTGAAAGACTATTATTCCCATGTAATTTCTTACAATGTAACATAAAAGAATGTTTTGTAGGGAAAAAAATCATTAAAATTTACTTTTACACTCAACTTTTAAACTGACTTGTTTCTTTTTGGTGCCATGACATAAAAATAACTAAAACTAAACTACTTACTACTCTCAGAATCAAAATCTTAACACTTTATACCAAAGAAAGTGAAAGATTAATCCCTGGTGTTTTCTTAGAATCAAAGATTACTTATCAAAGCAAAATGCAGAAATACATTTCCGTAACATGCTACTAAAATAAAACTAATTCAGATCTCCAACCTGAAAACACATAAATTTCAACACTAATCTAGACATAGCCCTAAAACACATTTAAAATGTAACAATTCAAAACACCAGGAAAAGATAAATCTCACACTAAGAAGTCTACTCATCAAAATAATTAAGCCAATCGTATAGTAACAAACATTTAAGACTGATTTTTCTACTACCGCAATATGGTTACCATATTCGAAAATAACCATATTTTCTGCAAGGATCATATGGCTGACCTATAGTAGACCACAATTTAAACTAAAAAGAAACTTACACTAATAAAATCAATATACTCATTTATTAAATAATCCAAATATTATAATTTAAGATAGCTGGCCAGACTACCCCTACAAAATCTCTTTTAAAAGTTACTCATAGTTTTTTTTTTTTTTTCCATATCAATCTCATTTTTAACATTATTTAATTCATACAAAAATCATAGTGAAACACCTCATATTAATCTTTTAAACATGTACTCAAGAATTAAACTCATAATAATTAAACATAAAGAAAAAATAACTAATACTTTCTCAACTATTAATTACTCATAACACTTTCTCAACTATTAATTGATTGATTAAAATATTCGAATTTTAAACTACATAAAAATGTCAGCTTAGTTTAGAATTCCAAAATCCTAAAATTTACTTATTAAAAGAAAAGGCAAAAAATGAAAATAACAAAAATTTCACTCACAGTTGGATCATTGCTCTCTAAAACCCAAAATCTGAAGACTCTCACGTAGCAACAATATTCAGTTGATACTTAATTAGTTGACATAACCACAATCAATCTGGCAATTGTTCGAGACAGTCACGGTTTGCTATTTCATCACTGTCCAAAAACGAGTCTGAAGACTCTTGCAGTCAAAAACAATGTTCAATCAATACATAATAGTTGATAAAACCACAGTCTGATGAAGCTTCGAGACACTCAGGTTGACAAACAGACAACTTTCAGACTCAAATCTACAAGTGGAAAACGTCAGAGACATGATTCTTAAACAAAAGTTGCCAGTCAAGTATAATGCTGGACCTATCCCCAGATCTTCCGTCAATTCTGGCTGAAGCCTATCCGAAGGGAGGCGCGGTGAGTTTGGACCGGTCCTCACGGGCAGTGCCTCAGAGATAAACAATATTAACCGAAACTGTGGTCGCCCACAAGGGGGTGGGTGGCTGGGCTATGCTCCTCTCAAAAGTAGATCAAAACTGGACCAAATCTCACAAAAACCTCCCCCCTCCTACAGTGCAACGGCTTTTGAAAGCTCGGTTGAATCTCACAATGTAAACGCCTCAAATTCGCTATTGGCTCAACTAAAATTAAAATTTAACCAATCTTAAGCAAAACTTGAACTCCCTCTAGCCAACTAGAAAAGAGGCAATAAATAGCCTCTAGAATTCGAAGAAATTCAGAACTCTGTACAAGGTGACGGACCCTTTCTTTCCCACACAACAGAGGAATGTTTTCAATTGTAATTCAGTTAAACTTGCGACATCCTTAGGTAATAAATACGTCACCCAGTTGTCTACTTCAGAAAGGCTGAAATACTTTCTCGCCTCCACACCCTACACATGGGATCAAGCCCGCAAAAAGAGTAAAATGCAGCTGGGCAGTCCGGCCCCTGACCCCACAAGAAGCTGAGTCATGAGAAACGGGAATACATCCGCGCCCTTTTAACTGTAACACATCTTTAGCCAAACTTAAAAGAGCTTGCCATAGTTGAATGAAAAGATTAAACAATACTAAATATTATACATTAATTCTTAAATATGAACATTACAAATTCATTGTTCACAGTAAAATAATATGTAATAATTGTACACAACAAAATAATACAAAACAATTTTCCATAATAAGAAGAACAGAATATATATTTATGTTATTTCATAATAATAAGCACATAATAGTCAGTTTCTTGTCCTTCCTCTTTCTAAAAAAAGTTATAAAATTTCATAACCTTCTTAGTTAAAAAAAGAAAAAAAAAAAAAAAAAAAAAAAAAAAAACAATAAATTAACTTTATATCTCAAACATTATTTAATGGATATTACCTAATATGAGGTAAGCAAACAAGTGCAGCCCAAATTTCAGGAAGATTACTCCTTGCTAGTTCATCAAAGCATAGAGTTTCAATAAGAAATTTCTCCAGAACAGTGGAGGCAGAAGCAGATGACAGGCACTTCTTTCCCATGCTGAAAAGAAAAAAGGTAACTGAATTGCATCTTACAGTAAAATATTTTTAAAGCTTCAAGCTGAAGTTTTCATGGTTGAATTTTAAATTTAGTATTAAACAGCTGAAGTAATTATGGTTCAATCTCATACAAATGATCTCAAAAAATTAAAAATGCGTATTTAAAAATCATCATCCAGTCTAAATTGGTATCAAAATTAGATATTATGATCAATTTTTTGTTTTACTATTTAGAAATTGTAATAAATTACAAAATTATGTAAAATCACGTAAACAAGAATTATTTCTGCAATCACACAGATTTGAAAAGCAAAATCTTTAAATTTTAAAGGTACAGAAGAGAATTTGGATCAACAATGATAAAGGGTAATGATTTTATAATGAATAAGAAAACTGCAGACTTAAAATGATTAAAAATTATAATAAAAAATAAACAGTCTTAAACAAGCTTATTACCTTCTAAATATCATTTATATGAGTTGCACATCAAACTGCATTACTTTTCTTCAAATGAATCAATCACTGCATTTATATTATTAAATAGTTCCTTTTGAAAATTGCTTTATATTTACTTCTAAAATATTTCTTAGTTCATTTCAGAAGTTTAAATTTTCGGGACATGAAAAAATTATAATTTTTTTAATAATATTAATTTCATTGAGTATTTGAGGATAACCATTCATTAATGGATTAAATTATGTTGCAGAAAATGTTCTCATAAATGAACAAAAATAAACCTTACTATCAATCCTTAAAAGGCTAATAATTAAGTGATAATGAATATAAAAGAAGATGACTGCCAAAAACATTGTGAATAAAAATATTGCGGAAAAAACTACACAAGGCAAAAACATCATCGAACAAATTAAGCATCACACTTCTAAAACATTTAGACATAAAACATCATCATCAAAAATAAAGTTATTCAAAACATCATCACAGACAATATCGTGATAAAAAATAATAATTAACAGACATAATTTTCAGGCTTTGAAATCTGTAAATTTATATTTGCATCATTATTTGTGAACACAAGAAGGAATTTTTACCCAAGCGACAGAAAACAATTTTTATATGAGCAATCTCATGAAGTTACTCATCTTCCACTATATTTTTTCATGAAAAATTACCAATACAGTTTTATAAAAGACATTATAATTAAATTATAACCTTCAGAAGATAACTATACAAAATTTTTATAATAAATAAGATAAAATCTCATTAATTGCTACGCACAGCTTTAATTTTCTACTTATTTTCAGTTTTTGAATGCTTAAATTTCCATCTTGCATTTTTTGCAAAAACGTATTACTTGATTGAAAAAAATATCAAATATAGAGGTAAAAATACTCATAACTGATTTTGCATTTACATATTACTTTGGGAATATACATTTATAACTTTTAAAACCCCCCAAAATACATGTTCGCAATGATTTCAAGTTGCTTTATTTTTTACGACGATGTTTTTGAACTTATGACAAGGGTTTTGAACTATGATGTTTTCTTTTGCTTTTTTTCCTCCCACAATGTTTTATATGACAATATGTTTGCTTTATGTTGTTTTCTCTGTGACGTTTGCGATCATAATGTTTTTGCCTGTAACCATAAAAGCAAGAAAACTTTAAGACTGAGCAAAATTCAATCTCTGATAAGTATCCCATGCATTCAGTATTAAATACAGAATAATACAATTCTAAATACAGAATAATAAATACCTACTAAAGTATATTTCACTTCTTCAAGCAGCAAAAATATTTTACCTTTGTATTACACAATTACAATCTTACTTTACAATTTAAAAGGTGAATCTTGTATCAAATCAATTACATCTTGTTCTACAAGGGCACATCTACCACTCCAGGGAAAAAAAAAAAAAAAAAAATCTCATGCGGACACCACAAGACTTTCTTGTACAGAATATTAAATGACACACATTTTTTTGCTGCATTTCATTTGAATTTATTTCCTCGAATTTCATTACGGATGGATTTCTCATTCATTTAATTCAGTTCTCACTTTGTGACAAGGCAAAAATGCATAAAACCTCAAAATAACTTAATTAAAAATTGAAAAATATAGGAAAAAAATAAAAATAAAACACCAAATACAGTTAAAACAAATTTAAAAAAACAAACAAATTTTACAATTAAAATTAAGAGTTTCTATGCAAAAACAAGCAATTTGCCCAGCAAACAACAAGGCAGCTTTTTCTGTGCATAAAACTGAAAGTTTACTTTTGGTCCCACTTCGCAAAAAAACATTGAAGGTGCAGAAACTGACTTAATTCACTATTCTGCTACGTTTCAAATGCAAACAAATATGGCTGTTATAGTAAACAAAAATTACGCTTAGCTGCACTTAAACAACTTTTAAATTGCTGATAATTCTACAATTATTGCATTCAGATTAATTAAAGGCATAAAAACCTTAACCGGAAGATAAGAATAACATCATTCAATCATTTTGAATGCAAAAAATGCACAATTTACCAACATATAAGAATTAAAAAACTGAGCTCATCGAGCCGACCATATAACCGAGTAGGAATACACCTACTCTGTTATTTATATACTTTTGGTGTGACCGACTGCAACCAAAAAGGCAGGTGACAACTAGATCTTATAGCAGTTCTACATACAAAACTTCAACGTTCTAAGGCTACTCATTTTTGAGTTATGTGAGATACATGCATACATATGTACAGATGTCATGAAAAAAATCTCTTCTGAATCCATTTTAAATCAATTTTACAATGCGTCTGGGGAAAAAGAGTCCTTTATTCTGTCCTTACATACAGATGTCACACAAAAACATCATTAAATTGCATTTTATAGCGGTGAAAATGGATATTTTCGTTGAAATACGATACCCGGAATTTCATAGCTCTTTTTAAAAACTATTAAAAAAATTCCTTTACTTCGTACAAAGAAGTAACAATAAAACAAAATAAAAACTAAATAAAATATAAGAATAAGAAACAAAAAATGTAAGCTCTGAATGCATTTACAGAAACAGCAGAAGAAAAACAAGGTATGCATTCACTGTTACTGTACTGAAATTACACAAATAGAGAAGGGATCTGAAATTACACAAGTAGAGAAGGGATGTGTGTTTGAACTGATTTATATGTAATGATTAACTTGCAGAAAACAAATTTACATTAATGAATTTATAATTTATTGCTCTCAAGAATAATGTAAAATATCTGTTGTAAGAAACTGGTATGTTTTATTGAAATTTGGAAGAACCTTTATACATGGTTAACTTTTAAAAATTTTATGTCAAAAATAAATAGAGATATTATGCTTAAGTTAGAATTTTAAATATAATTTGATTTCATCGGCATTGCACAATTTCAATATCTCCTTACTTTACATTACCTTACAATCTATGCCCTTCTCCTACTCCTGTAACAGGCAGACAGCTCTTGTGTGCTTTGCCATATTCAAATAACCTAACCTAACCTACACATGTATTACAATTCTTAAACATTATTAACTTGTAAGGAACAGAATAAGGCCTCAGATTCTCTACTACAGAGCTGATTCTAAAAAGGGCTCTGCAAGTCAGAAGATTTAGGAACTGCTGACATAGAGGTTTTCATTACATGGCAGCTTTTTATTTCTATATTTTACACCTGACTAAATATTTCATTACAGGTAACCTCATGCTTGCCAAAAGTGATCGATAAATAAACTAATTAGCTTTGGGAAAAAAATGAAATGAAATTATTCACATCAACAGGATGGACATTTTGGCTTCTCAAAAACAGCTGCATGTTGAGTCTCTCTTAACGCAAGCTTCTAGAATACTACAAAATTATAAAGAATTCTCAACACATGAACACGAGCACAAAAGCAACATGATGCAGAGTTGAGTACTCTGAATGAGAAATGGTGAAGACGATTTATGTTTATATACTTTATTCTTCTGAGTTTCATTATTATTCATTGCTAATTTCACATTTGATTTTTTATTTACATTTTTCAAACAATTCCATTCCCCTCCTAAATGTTTTTGGGGAAATGTGGGAGAGGAAGGTTTAAAATACATAATTACACTGAGCTCATAAATATTCAGACTACCTTAATTATAAACATTGGCATTAAAATGCTATTATATATGCTATATCATTAGAAAACCAATTAATTATTATCTTAATTAAATAATAAAAATACATTGTAGAACCCCTCCCTCACAAAAAAAAAAAAAAAAAAAAAAAAAAAATTGAGAAATCATGTTCTTGATCAAAAATATGAATAGTTACACTGTTTTTCTACTTTACATCTTTAATCTTCACAAGAAACTGGCCTCTGCATTTAAAATATTCGCATGTAAATACTGATATAAAATGATTTCAATAAACTGTTTTTACAACTGTAACAAATGAATATCATCAGAAACGTGCTCTACCAATGATATAGAGAAAATACTCAGTTCAACAGACGCGAGCTGCTAAAGTGAGATGTGATTATTTGAACTCATGCTCTGAACTTTAAAAGCTATTTTATGTAATTCCATTTTCAGTTTTATCATTTTCCTGTATGTTGTTGTTAGGTTTTAATAAAACATAATTTAAAATTAACTCCTAAAATGCTAATTGATTCTTTTAAGGATTAATACACAGCTCTTTTTAATAACTATTAGAAACACTCACCTGTTTTTTGTTGGGGCATACAAATACAGTTTAGTAAATGATTTGATATCACTTCCAGATGTTAAAATGGGCTTCAGAGAAGTAACAGTTTCAGATAGAATTTGCAAAACGCTTTTCTTCTTTCTCGCATTATCACTTGACATCAATTTCATACAAGACGATAAAAGCAACGGTAGAAGGTCCTATGTATACAAATGGAAAATTAGGAATCAAAATTTAATTAATGTAAGTTTTATCATAAACTTCAACAACTATAGCTGAAATTTAGTTTATTAAAAGACAAAAATAGTTTTGCTCATTTAATCAATCAAATTTGAAACCAAAAAATGTCCCAAAGGTAGACTCATTTTTTAGGTGAGCTGTAATAAAAAATGCATAATGGTTTTAAGGAGTGCAACTAGCAATTAATAATATCAGAAATGAAAAACTGTGTTTACTGCTTTGAATTTACTTAGTTTGTTGATTAAATTTGAAAGACAAATATCTTATACATTGTACAGTAGCAACATAAAGCTTTGAAATAGCTGAGTTTTCAATTAAAAGTTCATTCAGTTTGTAAAATAAATAAAAAACTAAATTTAAAATTCAAAATTCAGGCTTTGAAGTGCACATGTTCAGGTGAAGGACCACGTGTGTTCAAAATCTTGTGGCTCCAAGAACCACTTTTTTTCCCATAATGCAAGAAACATGCCTACATGCAAATTCTGCATTACTTAATAATAGAGGAGACACATACAAATAAGTGGTTCGATGATAAAGTTAACAGAATAAGTGATTTGATGATAAAATTAATAGAATAAGTGATTTGATGATAAAGTTAATAGAATAAGTGATTTGATGATAAAGTTAATAGAATAAACTTCAATATACACAGTTAATAGAATAAAATTTAAGGTATAGAATATTCAAAAGATAATTCAGATTCTCAATACATGAACACTTCTCACTGCTTCAAAAAAATATGTTTAATGTCCAGAAATGCCAAAACAAAATAAATCACATTATGCAGAATGACAGGATAAAAAGGAAAACATCCAAACTTGATTAGAAATAGAAATTAAAAATAAAATGAGGCAAAATTCATCTTGTCAAATATTTAAATAATGCTTACTTACGGATTTTTAATAAAGATATGACTATTGCCATGATGGAACACAATTTTATTGCTGAAAATACAGGAATCAAAATCGTTTAAATATATTAGTTTTCTAACTAATATATTTAAACGATTTTGATTCCAAAAATCCTTAGTCAACTTTGTCTTTTTATGCATCCTATCAACTTACAATACCTTTCATAACACTAACAACAATGTAACAAAATAAACAATTTACTCAAAACATTATAGAATGAACTACTAAATATAATCACAATATGTAAAAATTTTAGACATATAAAAAAAACTTACTTTTTCAAACATTCCATACTTAAACATATTCCTTGTGAAATGAAAGAAAATTTCTTCTGACTGAGAATAAATCTAAAAATAATAACAATAATAAATAGATCTTAAAAAAGTATTTTGAAAATAAATTTAATCTTACATCATTAAACTTTTATAAGTATGTAAGGCAAAACGGCAACTGGAAAACATGCAAATGAAAAACAAACACAGAGGGAGGGGGCGAATGAAAGCTTTCAGATTTTACATTATGCAATAAGAGGCATTTTTTTAACATTTTGAGTGTTATATTTATTTATTAAATATCATGTTCTTTGCACTTGAACCATACAATTCAGTTCAACAGCAATATTGCAAAATAATTTTAAAATAAGAATATCTTTAGAATTTCCGATACAGTCTCGTGCACTGGAGGTAAAAATGTTTTTTCCCCCTGTATAGTGCTGCCATTGCTGGCTTTGAAATCGTTGAGTTTGTTAATCAAAAATTCTTTTAAGTTTTACAAAATATGAAATAGATAATAAGATAAATTCCAAATTTGGGCTTCCAGATGACCATATTCGGGTGGAAATGTACGTTATTCAAAATTGGATACCTCTAGGTACTAAAATTGTTGTTTTCTCACAATACGAGAAACATACATGCATTTATGCAGATTCTTCATTATTTAATTTCTTTAAATATAACGCAGGGCTCTAATATTTGGCAACAACTTGAAAAGTGAACTAACGCAAAATGCAAAAATGAAATTAATAGTCCTGAGCAAATTGCCCCTTTAGACTAAAAAAAAGAAAGCACTTGAATACATTTTTATAAAAAAATACACATGTAATGAAAGTAAAAGATTATTACCTGTGTCAATATCATATTAATTTTATCAACTGGGAAGTTCACACATCCAGAAATCATTACAGAGGAAATTATATTTGCAACAGATTTCATGCAATATTGTGGTAAGGAATTTACACTACACAAGTCGGTCAAAACCTATAAAACAATAGCAAATCAAGGTTTTAAAAATCATAGTAAAAGGTATATAAGCTAATGTAGTTTCAAATTATACACTGTAATACAAATGAAATAGTACAGTTTAATTGTATCAGCTTTCATAGGAAATTCTTAATACTTTAGTTAAAATTTATAATTTAATTCGCATTTTTTGTCATTTTTTAGCAACTTATGAAGTGATAAAATGAAACAAAGTTTCATGAAATTGCAACTTATGAATTAATATGATGAAAACAAATTTCATGAAATTATACATTTAACATATTTATCCATTTATTCACAGTAAGTTTGGAAAAAACTCATTCAAATCAAATTTTTATTTTCTGAAAATACTACTCATATCAAAATTTTCAGCAATTTTAACAGAAATTAAATATTAACCATACATTATTTAATAAAGTAAGAATTTTTGAACGTACAGAAAATTTTAAAAGTACAAAGTTATTATGTTTTGAATTATGTAATTTAAAATATACCTTGCAGAAATATAAAACATACATCTTATTTTTTAAATGACATGATTAGCACTTGAAATTAAAAAAAAATTTACTTACCGTTAACACCCATAATTAAAATATATTCAGCAATAAAATACAAATTACATTTTTTCAAATCTTTCTTTCCTGAAACATCTGCCTCAAAATTTTCTTTTCTTCTTTGACATTTCCCCTCTCTATGTTGTAATTCATGCAATTAATTGCAAATGCATTGTATAATTATAATTATAAGTTATATTTAAGATGATATAATTATGCAGTATATTTTTTTGAACTCAAAAGGAAGAAATAATTTTCAGTGAAATAATCCATTTCTTGTCCAAGGCGCTATAAGCATTTTAAGCGGAATACTTACCATTAGTGCAAAACTTAATCTAATGTCTATGAAGTTTAGACATATCTATTAAAGTCTAACTGTAGTAATAGCATCAATATTTCTTACAAAAATAAAAGATACTATGAAGTAATCTACAATATAAAGGCATAAGACTGTATTTACCTCGATAATACATTTATCTGAAGAAATTAATTTTCCATTTTTGAAATTTATCCATGAGAGAAACAGATGTAAAACTTTATACAGATGTTCAATCAAACGATTCCTTTTATTTTCTTCAGAACCAAGCTGACCTATTAACTCTTCTATGAAATCCTATAACAGTTAAACTTATGCATTAGATAACAAAACATGTATTCATAAAAAAACACAGACAAGAAAATAAATGTTAACACATAAAGTAGCCAACAATCACTACTAAGCATATATTAATTGCCCATAGTTTTAAGGTAAATAAATAATAACAAACTGCATATTGATTTTAAATGCTTATTTCACTTTTTTGTTAATAAAAAGTTACCATACATGATAAAAGGTTAATTATTTAAAACATAGCTGGAAGAATCTCAATCGCTTCAGCTATTGTAGCAGAACGAATTGAATTAGCATATTAATTTGAAAATGTAATACTGAATACTTCATTTACATATTTTAGGTGAAAATATATATTAAATAAAATCAAGTAAACTTTTGCCTACAGTTAAAAATTATTTTAAAAGGTAAACTATGATATATATACAAAGGTCTCTATTTCAATTACCAAAAGTAGTACATATTCATCAATGTAGCATATGTGTTATCCAAATTTAAATACTTAGTTAATGAATTTTATTCGAAACAAAACATAAAGTTGTAAATTACGAGAAAAATAAAGGCTTCACAAACTCATAAAAAGATTAATAAATGCTGACTATAATAGAAAAAAATGTAATATTTGTTGTTACTTATTTATTCTTTCTGTTATAACTTATGCTATTATAAAGAAGGTTGGGACAACAGCTTTTTTACTGTGCAATTCACAAAAAATATTAGTAGCAAACACCAAAATCTCAAAAAATTCCTTTGCCTTAGACTATAAATAGGCATTCTGGTTAGTAACTGAACAGCAGATCATAACTTCATACCAGTATTAACCCTTTAACTGTCAAGTTATTTTGATGATTGGGTACACAAACTGTCAAATTTTTTTATTGCAAAAATCAAATGTTTAGTACAAAATAAAATATAGTTAAAAATATAGTCAAATGTTTAGTACAAAATAAAATAGTTAACAATTGATATTTTGAAGTACATGGGTAAAATTTTTAAAGTTTTGTAGCCACTGCATATTTGCTTGAGGCGGCTGCCACTCAACATGGCAGTTGTAAAGTTCGCTTCTAGTGGAGCATTATTTTTTCTAAAAAAAAAAAAAAAAAAAAAAAAAAAAAAAAAAATCTAAAAATTAAATAAAAGTGAATACCTATTAGTAGTTCAGTAATTCAGTCTTGTGTGGTACAACTGGAAACACTTTTCCAAGCACAAACCAACTCCACAATCACTACACCAGAATCGTGTTTCCTTCCTTATCATTTCCCCATTCTTATCCTTTTTCAAACAACACACTTTGCACTGTCTTGTAGGCTCGTGTTTCACAGGAGTAGGAGGAATATGGGATATAAAACGTCATTCAGTAAGACGAGCAGGGTTATCTATTGTAGGTGGTCTGCCAACATTATTTTGTCCAGAAGCTGCATCATCATATTTATGTAAAAGCTCTTCTACAAATTGGATTCAAAATTCTAAAAATGTAATACGTTTCCCAACTACATTTTTATAGAGCAAAAGGAATGCCTGTAAATCGTTTTATTTTGCTTTTTTGATATTTACATTTTTGCAATAATGAAGCTGAAAAAAAAAAAGATGATTTTCCAAATCCAAAACTTCCAGAGTACCTTGTCTAGTAAATGTAAAAATATCTTTTTATAATTTTTTTCTGACATTTTTGGATTGTTGGATGAAAGGATATTTCCTGATCACAGCGATCTACACCCCCCATAGTTAGATTGTAGTCAGAAACAATCTTTGGCTTGAGTATATCTTTATTTTTTTTTTTATTTTTGAAGTTGACCATGGAAGTATCATGAATACTGCTCATCAAACACACATCCTTCTTATCTTTCCACCTTATAGCCAAAATCTTACCTCTTTGAAAAGCTACAATTTGACATTTCTGTAATTTTCTTTTAGCAAATTTGTAGGTAAATCTTGTTTATTTATCCTTACTGTGCCATAAATATCTGTTTTTTGGGCTATAAGTAAATCTGCAAGCTCGGGTGACATGTAATAGTTATCTAGAGTCACATAATACCCATTTCCAAGAAAGTGATGCAATAGGTGCATGACGACTTTTGTAGAAAGTCCATAATTAGTATACGATTGACTGAAGACAGTAATATTTCCTGTATAGATATGAAGTCACAAATATACCCTGTTTCCGCCTCACAAAGCATAAAAATTTGATTCCAAATCGTGCACATTTAATAGGAATATATTGATTCAAAGTTAACCTCCCTTTATAAGGCATCAAGCTTTCATCAACCAATGCATCACTTTCCAGTATGTAAAAATTACAAAATTTTTCTCGCAAATTTTCTATCACATTATACAGCTTCCAAAGTTTTGGATTTGGAAAATCATCTTTTTTTTTTCAGCTTCATTATTGCAAAAACGTAAATATCGAAAAAGCAAAATAAAACGATTTACGGGCATTCCTTTTGAGTAAACTGGATTATGCAAAAATCCTTCGATGAGACTAGTACATAGCCTGATTTGGTTTTTGGACAATACCTTGAAGAATTATTAGCCCAAAGAATAGCTTCATTTCTCTTTCATTTGTAGGGATCCATTTTTTACTGCGGGAGCACCTTGATATCTTTGCCAGATTTGCTTTTTTTTCTTGTTCTGCATAGTTGTTCGTTTCTTTGACAATTATTTCCATTTGATTTGAATCCAGAAACATTTCTAAAATATCTAAAGGAGTGTAGTTAATGTTTACAGGAAAAGTTACACCTGAAGTACCAGTAAAAGTGAACCGCGGGGGCCCGGATCGGCAAGAAGCAGTTATTTCACACCAGTCTCTCGCATTTCCTATATCATGATCACTGCTATCTGTTGATTCACTGCTACTTTCAATGTCTCTCTTCTCAGTTTCACCTGCATCACTAGTATCGATGCCTTCAAAATCTTCATCTTTGGTTGAAGAAGCCAAATCATCTCTATAATGATTCAAAGAACTGGACGCCATTTTACAACAAAAAGATCCCGTGCACTTTGAACCAAAGAACTTCTAACCTCTAACTTTTGAAATCTTCAGTAAAGTGTTGCCATCTATTGAACTGAGTGCACATTAACTTTTCTCAAGATATAGTCGGGTTTGACAAAGAGATGAAGACGAAATAAACGTCTCCCGATATATATTCGGGTATAACAATACGAAGCACTCAAAAAAAAAAAAAAAAAAAAAAAAAAAAAAAAAATTACGCCGAGTAATACTCGGGCATGACATTTTCGAACACAAGTGCTGTGCCCGAGATAAAGACAGGCAGTTCCACAGACTATGAAACTGAATTTTGAAAAAAGTCTTTGCATTCAAACGCCAAGTTTTTAATTTCATTAACTTTTGGCTATTATTTTTTCAAATTCTACATACAGCTTAAAAATACACTGCTCGACATTGAAAATGCAACACCAAGAAGGAGTAATCAGAAAGGGATGAAATTTGAAAAAAAGACAGAGACAGCAAGCAGCAATAAGTGATCTTTATTTCAAAATGATAGTCAGAATACAGAGTGAGAATGGCATCGGCTCAGTAGGATGTAGGACCACCGAGGACAGCGATGCACAAAGAAATATGTCTAGGCATAGAGTCAATAAGAATACGGATGGTGTCCTGAGGGATGGCTCTCCATTCCCTTTCAACCATTTGCCACAGTTCATCTTCTGAACGAGGCAGGGGCAGAGTCTGGAAACGGCGTCCAATCACATCCCACACATGTTCGATTGGTGACAGGTCAGGAGAGTATGGTAGCCAGGGAAGCATCTGTATACCTTGCAGAACATGCTAGCAGATGCGAGCATTGCGTGGTCAGGCATTATCCTACTGAAAAATTGCATTAGGCAGCAACTGAAGATAGAGGATTGCCACTGGCCGCAGAACATTATCCAAGTACATAGTGCCCTGAATACAAACTAGAGGTGACCTGGAGTCGTAGGCAATAGCGCCCCAAACCATTATGCCACGTAGTCGCATGGTGGGGCGTTCCACAGTTACTGTCGGATTAGATCTGTCTCCACGTGTGGCGAGTGTCACTGGATAAACAGAAGCGTGAATCATCTGAGAACACAATGTTTCGCCATTCTGTCATCCACATCGCTCCAGGCTGACGTCGTTCTAAATGTTGGCGTCTATGCTGTGGGGTCAATGGCAGTCTTCTTAACGGACCCCATGAGTGCAGGCCACGTCCAACCAATCGATGAGAAATGGTTCTGGTCGACACGAGAACATCCAGGGTATCTTGCACATGCTGCAGAATCGCGGTGCAAGTGACTTGCGGGACCGCCACAGCTTGTCGGCGGATGTGTCGATCCACATATGCTGATGTAACTCTGGCTCCTTCTTCCCACATTTCCTTGTTCCAACCATGTTTGCCATAGCCGATGCATTGTGCTCGCATCCATGTGGGTATCAGCTGCGATTAGATGTAAGGACCAACCCGCCCTTCTCAGTCCGATCACCATAGCCCTTGTAAAATTGCCTATCTGGGCTGGAAAGGCTTTCATTGACGGCAGCCTGGCATTCTCTCCTATTACACGTATCCTCTGGGACAAAAACCAACTTTCTTCGATAATTCGTCTGACAGAAATAACGACCCAAATGTTGCCCATTCTGCACGTTCTTTCTCTTATATCTTACTTCACGTGCATTGGAGAGCTGCGCATTTCACATCATTCGCATAACTCTGTGACATGCGTCTACTCTAAAATTTGCATATATTTCTGACCACTCCTTCTTGGTGTTGCATTTTCAATGTCGAGCAGTGTACATTGTTTTTAGAGAGAACTAGTTTTGTTACTTATTAAAACAGGAAATGACATATTTACAGATATTTCAATTAAAAAAACATGCATTTAAGTTTAAATGGAATTAAATTCAATTACTTTAAAATCTTTGATAATTTTGTAATGATGATTCTGAAATTTGTCATCATTCAATTCGGTTTCCAGAGAGTTCTGCGGTAATATGATGATAAGTACAAATCAAGCAATAAAAAAAATATAAGAAAATTTCGCATCATTTTGTTTTATGACTTCTGCCATAGATTATGGAGCTGGAGAATTCCTTTCTAAAAAGTCATTAGATTTATCTGTTAAGAAGTTATCGAGGTGCTGTTTAACAGTCTTCAAAGAAGTGAACTCCAGTCTATTGAGAGATTTTTGAAGTGACTGGAACAGATGAAAACCCAAGCTCTGGTGAATATGAGGGGTTACACAAAACATCCCATTTGTCACTAGCAAAATTCAAAATTTTCTCATCACTAGATGTTATTTCTTACTCACCGGACTCCAACATGTTGTGACAAAGAATGATTATTCAAATACCTTTCTTATTTTTTTTTTTAACATTGTATACAATTCTATTCATACAGTTATATTTATAAATTATTCATTCCTACAATAACATAAAGACTTTACTTATTTGCATGGTGAGAATAAGCCTGTCATACCTTTACCTACCTCAAAATGTTTTAGAATTCCAACATCAGAATTTTAAAAACAGACCTCATTTTCTGAATGCAGCAAATTAAAAAACTACCCACATTTCGTATCTCACCAACAAAACAAAACAACAAAATAAATGAATAAGAAAAAATTGCACACTAAAAATTTAATTTTAGAACGAGATGCTCTTAAACCCATGACAAATTTCAGTGCTTTGTACACAAATCCTCAGACCAGCTCATATTTTCTGTAACTATAATTACCATGATCATGGCCAGGCAAAATTCTCGTCAAAATGTGAGAGGCACAATACCATGCATACTCAATAACTCTTTGTGTGAGTTTCATTAAAATGTGGGGTTGAGCATTGTCATGATGGAAGACAACACCTCGATTACTGGCAAGTTCTGAGTGCTTTGCTTCCCATTTGGGAACAGTATTTTTCTGAATTTATTTTCTGATTAGGTAGCAACAATTCATGCCATAAATTTGTTTTAGTCCCACCATATACAAAGCATTACATTTTTGAGATGCAGCATCCATCTCTATGTTACTACAGGTGGCTCAGTAATCCTGTAGTATGTAATCTACTATGTTTAGTTATTTATTTAAAGGCAATAAAACTGGGTGTTTTAATGATTTCTTTTTCCATCACACATTTGAATTCTTTTTCTATCACATGTTCGAAGTTGAAAACAGTGTTTTAGTGTCACCATCAAAGAAATCAAAAACTAACTAAAAGTGGTAGATCACATACTACAGTGATCTCAAACTGGTGGCATATAAGCCACATGCAGCCCCTGAAGCAATTTATATGCAAACACAATTTTAATTATGCATTTATTGCAAATACAGTGCTGCAAAATTTCAGGATTTTAATATTTGAAGTCACTAGATAATCTATAAATTGAGCTTAATAATTTACAATGTAATATAAATCATATTCAAAGTTTTAAGATGCAGAGTTGAGTAATATATTTGTACAAGTCAAAAAATAAGTACACTTAGTTATGAATTTCTGCATTTAAAGTAATCACTTTGTTTGACAATACATTATATGAACAGCTTTTTTCACAGTTGAAAATGAATAAAAGAACCCAACTGATGAACATCTACAATCAGAAATGAAGATAATGTCTAGTTATTTTATTTTTTTTTTTTCAAGTGCAATGGCATCATGAAAACAAATTTTGTACTTATTTAATACAAACTTATGTAATTTATATGCCAAAGGAAAATTTAATAAATAAGAGAAAGCGACTAGGCTGTCATTATTTATTCTCAAGTTTTTCCCCCACTAGGAAAAATGTTCAAAATGTGCACTTTTAGTTTAAATTAAAGTTCTTATTTAAAAAAAATTTTGTTGATAAAAATTTGTCATTTTATTTAAAAAATAATTCTGGCTTGTCAGCTGTTTTCCAGATTTTGCATTTGGCATACTGTATGATTACTAGAGGTTCTTTTAGCTTACTTGCCTTGCAACATTATTGGATAGTACCTACTATCTAGTAATGAGCTGTTAAGGGGGGGGAAGATTCTTTATTTCTTTTCAATAAAGATCCATACGCCAAAATTTGAGCAAGTATACTCTGCTCTGTTAAAGTATAGGGTACCCACATATCATAGTGGCTTACATACCTAATCTTCCTCAAATGATCCTGTATTATTTGAAATATCATATTTATTTGTATATTTACTTCTTTTTTCCTATTAATTTTACCACTTGAAAACAGGGAGAGGGGAAAAATACACAGAAACATTACACATTAAAAAGCCCACTTAAAGACTATTATTTATAATATGTGTTTTAACCCCTTCGCGCCGACTGTCACGTATACGTGCAGCAACGAACACACTTATCTACCGGCCAACACGCAGGCGTGCCAGAGCATTGTTGCGTTTACTACCGACTGTCACGTATTTGTGCCAGTACCTTGGAACGTTTTTCAAACTATAATTTCTGCCACAAGATGGCACTGTATGTCCATATGGTTTCAGATACATGTACATTAGACCTTCTACTCGAAATGAGAGAAGCATGACTCACATACACGTGTTTTTGATTATATAAACAAACGGGGAACTAAATGTTTCCGAATGGCGTGATTTATGACGTCTCTTTAAATCGCACTTTATTCGCACGTGGTAGTTGTTTATTGTAAGTAGAAGTTTTATATGCTCTAAAGCGTTGAGTATTTCGGTTTACAGTTCAGTTTTTCAGAAAATAATTAGATCTTGTTAGACGTGAATTCTTTCTGTTTTTTTACCGTTTTCAATGTTCGAAGCGTCGAAAATGTTTAACAGAGCATGAAATAGCAGAAATGATGCAAAATATTTCAGATATTGATTCTGAGATTCTGATATTGATTCTGAAAGATTAACTGAAAGACATTTTCCAAAACTTTGTTCAGAAGAAACTGATAAGAAAATGAGACGACGATGCTTCGTTTGTTCACATTTCCGGAAAAATCCTCCAAAACGGCAAATGAGTTATTACGAGTTCAAGGAATGTAACGTAGGACTGTGTGTAGATCCCTGTTTTAAAATTTTTTCATACGAAAAGAGAATTTTAAGTAATATATTTAGTTTTCAGATGTATAATGTTAAAAGTCATAAAATGGTGAGTAATTAAAATAAAATGTGTAAAATATGCATTTAAACAAGAAATAAGGTAATTAAAGTATATACATAAAAATATCTATAAAGCATAAGCCATTTAAATACTCTATAGAGCATTATTAAACAATGTGTTGTTACTTTGGAAATTTCATGGATTTAGGCTTAGTTCCCGGCCCTGGAGAGACGCTCGCAGAAGACACTGGCGGCCTCCGCGATAAGCGCGCGTTTTTGCTACCCGGCTTGAAGGGGTTAAAGAACTTATTAATTTTAACACTATTCTTTTTACTTAAATAGTGGGATAATGTGAATTTTCAAGTGACAGTTTTTTTAAAAAGGTTCTTGTTTACAGATAATGGTCATCCAGATCAGGCATCATCTTTGAAGCTGAAATTTCCTCTCATGAAATTCACAAACCTTTTCCTCACTCCATCAAAAACAGCACTTTGTTCATGTACAGCAAAAATTTTTAGGAGCAGTCCAACAAGCGCTTTAAAAAAATGAAAGCATAATATGATGAAAATGAACGTTTTTGTTGTCCATTCTTAGCACTGCACTGAAAAAACATTATGTCACAACACATGCTAAAATTATGCAATGTAAGCAGAAAAGACTGTATTTAAACATCTACTTTGATCAAGGTCACTCCTTTTCAGCAGCAAAATAATAATAAACTATACAATCACTTACACAAAATATTTTCTGCACTGTAAAACTGTATTTGGGGTTTGTATGCTTAGCCATAGACTGTAACATTTGTTGCAGGGCTTGTTCAATTATGTCCACAGTGAAATCTTCATTTCCTAAAAATTTCAGCAAGAGTTTCATAACCTAAAAGAGTTAAAGATTAAACATTGTAGTTGTTAGTAATATTTAGAGCACACTGTTTAACCTAGAAAAAATGCAGCAGTAAAATTTACACTTACATGGAACAGATTTTATGTTAAAATGGTGTTTCAAACACATCTTATTACTTAAACTATGCAAAACATTTCATAACAAATAAAAATAGTCCAATTTCTTAAAAAAAAGGTTTTATATTAAAGTGTTAAATGAGTTCACTAGAAATGAATTAATTCATAATTTAGTATATGATTTTACATTCCCTAATATTCTTACTATCCATAATAAGGTTAGAAGTTAGTTCTCTAATAATAATTACTTAATTTATAGAAACTTCTAAGGAACGAAATGGTATAATAGAGATATTAAGTTATATGATCACTTTAAATGGACAAAATTCAACTTTGACAGGAATGCACTTAAAAAAAAAAAAAAAAAAAAAAAAGCTTTAATACAGTTAAACAATCAAATACAGCTAGCCTTTATTTTAATGAAATCCCTTATACAGTCAAAAGTCTTTATTCTGGACTCATCGGGACTTCGGTGATTCCGGATTTTCTGGAAATCTGGTAAGATTGCATGCAGAAATTATAAAATTAAAAATATGAAAACGTAATTTATGAAATAAAGAGCAATTATGATCTAAAGGATATCAAAATTTACAAAAAAAAAAGATTAATATTTATTTCTTTACTTTATTAAACATTTCTTTCAATGCGTGCATGCGTAAAGCATACATTACGCATAGTCGAAATTAGAAAATTGCAACCAGAAAACTATTTGATGCGTATTCGTGATATTTATAATGACGAGGAATTTGATTTAAATCATATCAAAGACGGAGTACATCGAGATGAAATACTACATTTAGTAAGGAATTATAAGCCGAATAAAATAAAAACATCTGCCCTGAAGATAAGGATAGTGCTGACAGATCAACTTCCAGTTCATTGCGCGCCGTGATGTCCCCCTCCCCCCCGCGCAGAGCAGCGTGAAATTTATAAACAGATTTCGGAATGGTTAGAAAAACAAAGGATATGCCTTTATCCATTTTTTGCAGCAATTCCACTTTTTGTTTCATGAACATCAAAACATGCTTTCGCTTTGTAGCTCCAGAATCAGAAATTCTTTTTGACATAATCGAAAGTTCACGCTTACTTTTATAATATTGTTCTAACAGTCTGCAAAAAATAATAAGCCGGATCCAATTAGAAGATTAAGGGATAACGGAATCTGCAACATTAACTGAAATAGATAATTAGATAATTTTAGCTTAGCTTATACCGTCTGTTATACATTAAAAGCACATGCGTAAACATATTATGCGCATGCGTAAATGCTCTATGCATTTACGCATGCGCAGAAAGTTTGTAGCTTTGAGGTCCGGATTATAGATCATTCCAGATTAAAGACTTTTGACTGTATAATGCACACAGAGGGATACATTTGACACATTAAAAAATACACTTTTTTTAATAATTAAGTTATGTTAATGAAGTCTTTTTTATGACTGCAATTAATATAAAAAACTTTAATGTTAAATTAGCATAAAATAATAACTTAGACATACATGTACTGGTTTAAATATAAAATTATCTGTCAATCATGCTTTAGAAGCAAAGAAAGGCAGAGTTAAAAAGAAACAGTTTTACATAACATGGTTTGAATCCGACAGGGTTCATACATATTTCTGCACACAGAAATTCACTACTTCTAAGGACCATTAATGAAAAAAAAAATTAAGGACCTATGTGCAAATGGGAACTGAATAAATTCAATTAAAAATATTATTCTATGCCTGAATTTCACTTTAGTAATATTATCTTAAAAAAAAAAAAAAAAAAAAAAAAAAATATAGATCCCTAACTAAAATGCATTATTACTAAACATGAATTAATGAACATAATTATTAATAAATTTGAGAATAAAATAAACTTTATGCAATTTATCAAGCAGCATTTAATATTTTACACTTTTAATAGTTGGACATATTTGTAAGAAGATAAGTGACATTTACATTTTACTAATAGTTAGCTTTATGTCTCATTTTATCACATACTTGGTCAGTCTAGAGGTTTAGTAAATAGCAGGTAGATTTTATGTCAAGCGGCATAGGTTAAAATGAGAAGTAAGATCATAATCAACATGATTCATAACAAAAGACTGAATGTTTTCACCACTGCTGCTTGTCTAGAGGGAGACCTGCTGATTAGAACAAACTTGAAAGGTCTGATTGTAGGCACAGTTAGCAAGTGTTCAACGTTAGTCAGGCTCTGCACTTGATGCAGTTAGTGTCATAGCTTTGTGCAGAATTCCAGGAGTTGTAACCCAGTTAGTATACTTTCAGGTTCCAATAAGCCATTCAAGCACCAGAGCTGATATGTTGTTTTGTATTATTTTAACTCCACTAGATGCAAAGAATAAGTTTTACTTGAATTTCTACATTTTTGTGTTTTATCTTGTGATCACAGTGAGTACTAATGAAAGGCAATAATATGTAGGGATAATTTTTAAGGGTAAGCAGTTAGTTATAAATAATTAAATTAGGTAAATAGGTAACCTTAGCCATTATGGATTTACATGGCCACTATTAAATTTTATTTTTTAACAATATTTGTTAAAAAAGCCCTATTAAAATCTAATAAAATTTCACAGTTTAAAATACATGTAATTTATGACACTGATTCGTAAACGATATTAAGATAATTACACATTAAAAGCTACAAAACATTTATGTTTTGTAACAACAACACTCAACAAAATATTTATCCGTCATTTTAATTTGAAGCCTTACCAAACATTTTGGCTAGTTTATATCGATTTCCTTCTCTTTAAGCATCTTTCCTAACAATAATTAGAGATTTGTCTCAATATGCAAACCAATGCTCTAGCTAGTTTCTGCCTGCTTTATCTCCTAACTTGTAAATTTCTCCACAATATACCTATGAGGGTTTCCTTGATCTGGTAAAAGTTAAATAGTCCCAAACCCCAGAGAGACGTGAAGCAAATTATCCCTATGTCTGAAAGTAACTACAATATCAGACAAAGGTTTAAATAAGCCTCTTATTTAAAAAGAACTTAGGACATAAAGGCATGTTCTGATGCTAACAAAATCAATTACAGCTCACGGTGACATAATTAAACAAGAACAGTCAAATTCAAATAATGTGGACTAGTGGTCAAAGATTATACAATTTAATTTTAATTTAATCTGGCTCAGTAACTCTATCATTTGACAAAATAGAAATGGGAAATTATAGTAAAGGCTGAAATCATAAACAATTAGGTAATTTACATAATAATATACTTGCACATTATTCTTTGAAGAATAATTTTCTTTGTCTTTATTCCAGTTTCTTTCTTCAACACATTTCCTTTCTTCATTTTAGAATTTTGGGGATTTAATTAAGAGATTTCCGTTATTCTAAAAACACACTGAATTGCATTTAGAATATATAGAAAAAGTGGTTAATTTTATTTCTTTAGTTATATGAATATTCAGAAGAAATATGAAATGTATAAGGTAAAGGCTGGTTACAGAGCTGGTGTGGCAGAATTTTTAGAATTTAGTGACAAACAGAACAAAATCTAGAAATGGCAAAACTTTTAGAATTTAGAGCAGGCATTGGAAGCAGAATTTAAAAGTGCACTAGATCCACAGCGATCACACAGATATTTTAGGATTCACAGACATTGCATCAGGTGGGAAAATGCCTAGTGCCCGCTCTGTGTATGATGCATTAAGTCATATTAGATGAATCTTTTAAATTGTAAGTTTTTAATTTCTTTATTAATAAAAAAAAAACACTTTCTGTACTGCCTGCCCAAGTGATAAGATTAGAAGCACTTTTGATATTTTCCATAGTGAAAAGTAGTGAAAAGTCTAGTAAAAAGTAGAGAAAATAAAGGGAAGATAAACATGTTAAGAAAACGATTCTAGCATCAGGAGTAAAACAGTAAAATATTATTTTTTCATTGTTCTTCCAGACTTTCTCTAGAAAGTAAGAAATTCACTGCAAACTTTCTGTAAAATACATCCATTACGTGTTGATACCGTGGAGATATTTTTCCTTTTGTCACACATTTCTCGAATCTTCTAGAATCATGGGTCTATAAATTCTTGCCTTCAAATCCTTCTAAACTTTCCAATGTTTGCAATCTTTCTAAAATACTGCAATGTCTAAAATTATCTCTAAAGAAACCAACTCTGTAACAGTAAAAAAGCCAGAAATATTTTGGGGAAAGAAAAAAAAAAAGAAGGGAAAAAGTGTAAAATTAATTTTATAGAGAAAACTGAATGCATTTTCTGAGCCAATTTTGAATATTCTGAGACAATTACATGGGAAAAACGCTTACTATGAAAAAATTAAAAAGAAGACATTTTTAGTTAATTACATAGCTAATTTTGCTTTTGCTAAGAGCTGTTTCGTAAATTATGCTTTATAGCATTATATTTTGTTTATTTTTCAGATTCAAAATTATGTATAATAAGTTGCCAAAATGAAACTTTATAATACGACAGCAAAAAATAAAAATGTTTATTTTAATGTTATTTTTTAAATATAATTTCAATATATTACCATTATTTTAATGAAATTTATCAATGTTACAATGTTTTAAAAAAAATCGTCGAAAAATTCTGAGATCTCGGAATTAAAAATTTCTATAGAAACTGATGTTAAAATCGCCAAAATGTTGATAAGTAACCAAATGTATAACCATCTAATAAAAGAATTCACTGATCCAAAAGTGAAAAGTTGTTTATTATTAGAGCTCTTTATTATTAGAAAAAATGAATTTCAAAATGCTTATGTTTCACTTCTTGCTTAGAAACTCGAGTATCCCATCATTTATATTAGAAATAGAAACAAATTATAACCCATGAACCTATTCAGAAGATAACCATTATGTCAGTGAATTGCCAAAAATATTCCTCCAAAATGCTAATTCACACTCAAAATACCAGTCATAAAAACAGACAGAAATTTCAGATGATTAAAATTAAGGACGTTCTGCTGATTTTTGCCAAAAATAAGGACTTTTAAGTACTGTACGAACCCTGATCTGATATGCAAAACTGTTTTAGATTTGAGAAAAATAATTAAATGCATAAACGTAGACACTGAGAGGCAAAACTTATTAAATGTGCTTTCTTTTCAATAATTCCAATACACTTTCCAATGTTAAACTGTGCATAATTAGGTCAATATGGTTTTAAAAGAAAACAAAAGTATTTCTGCATATTCTTAAATACAGTATTTATAGCCAAACTAGAATGTGGCCTGTAACTCTTACAGAATCATTGCATAGTTCTTAAAAAAAGATATTGCTGGTGTGAAGCTATGTCTGTGTGTGGCTCATTCAATAGCAGGATGTCAAAGACGAAGTAAAAGGTATAAATCCTCTGAGTTATTAGAAGACTGAATTACCCACAAAGGTCTGGTTGCACCTTGCTGAAGGAAGAATTAGCAGACTTTTTTTAATGTCATTGTTTGTCTTTCATGAAGAACTTGGCAATTAGGAATTACTACATCATTTAAGCTGCTCTTAAAAAATCACATTGTTTCTATTATTGTCATATCTGTTAAATTCTGTAACTAGACCATTAGCATATGCAAGAAAATGTTTAAGACCACCAGTTTTCCTTTCTTAATGACCTCATTTTGTTTATCTCGTTCTGCATCTTTTTCAATCTCTACACATTTACAGATGAACTATACTCTTTTCTAATTCTTTATTTACAAATTTTTTATTTATTCTTCCTTGTATCTATGAGATCCAAAATGTTTAGGTAAAAAGACACAGATTAAGTAGTCAAGTTTGAGAGCAACTGTTAAAATTATAATTCATGGCTGTATATGAGCACACAAAATTTAATTGCTATTCTTTTACATTTTTAAATAATTTTTTCCCTTCATTTTAGCTTAATTTCTAAATTTAACATAAGCTTGAACAAAATAAGGACTGAGTATAAAATGACATTCTTCCTAATAATTTTGCCCTCTATGTTTGCTGTGCTGATGTTTTGAGACAAATAAACCCTTAAGTCATTTAATAAGACTTGTGCATATGTATATTGGTTAATATATGAAAACTGCTATGATATGATGAAAACTGCTATGTACGAATGATGAATATAGAGTGATGTCATTTGTGTGAGGCATATGAAACCTCACCATATTTAGTATGTACTTTACGACAGCAATAGTCGCTCCTCTTCTAGCCACATTTCTTAAAAGACATGAAGCGAAAATAAAGGTCCCTCTTATCACATACTTGTTAAGTTATTTGACAGCCATTTCTTGCCACTTTTCTACTCACTTTGAGATGGGGGAATAGGGTGACGAATGAAAAGTGCAGTGAAATCCTGGTGCCAGGGGACTTCGGCTAATGAAGAGAAAGGTTTGGGGGGGGGAAGATATAATCTTTTGGATGGTGGTAAATAAGAAAAGAAAGGAGATTCTGGAAGAAATAAAGGACCCGAAAGAGGAACAGGGTTGATTGCGACCCCCATTCAGATATCCTAAAAATTACTGTACAGTAAAATCCAGCAAGGTTTCAAATTACTCAGAATATTAATGTGATACATACACATATATAAATAGTTATAAAAAATATCTTCAAATAATTTCATTAGCAAAGCAAAAAAAAAAAAAAAATAAATAAATAATTTACTAAAAATGAATTTGTTTTTACTACATCATTTCCCATAGTTATTAACTTTTTTGGTTACTCAACATTTTGCAAATAATTGTTTAGCTTCCTTCCTTTTTTTGGGGGGGGGGGTGATGCAGCATTTATATTTTTCTTTCCTAACAATTTAAAGTTCATTATGATCAGCAAGACATTTTGATGCAGACAGTGGTTTCTCACTTAAACCTTTAGGTGTCAGATGCATGCATACGAGCAGATGATGTAGATGAGGAACTGCTAGAAAGAACAGAATGCTCCACGGAATATAAGGAATTTTAGCCAGTTGTCCAATTACTCCATAAGTTATTCCCATATTCTTTACCAATAGAGTCTTCAAAGTGATTTTTTGACCTCAAACTTCACATATATTTTTGCGTAATGAAAATAAATAATATTTTAGTGTCCACAGCTAGGCTGTAAGAGCTGAAGGATGTTCAATGTTTTCATTAGCTGTATAATTAAATGAACTTTTGAAGTAAGTTAAAATAGATTTAATCAGTACTGCAATTTATTCTGTTTTCCATTTTCTCTCAGCCCAAATGTTTACAGTACGAGTTGTTCCTGTTTCTGTACAATACAACTGTCTAAATATATCTGCTGTTAACTGCTTAAAGGGTCTAAACATTTTCAGTTTAAGCAATCTCTGAATAATATATTTTATCCAAAACAAAATTTGAGAAAGATGATGAGTGAACATTTCTCAAATCTACAAATTCTCGATCTGAAAAAGTAACAAATCCAGATCATAATAACCAGGCAAAATATGAAGAAGCTGATGATGTGAAAGGCCACGTCCAGGAAGAAAACAGAAGGCAAATCTTGTCCAGTCATGCAACTAGAAAAAAGCTCTTAACAATCATTGAGAGAATTTAGGAGTCTGAAATGGTTCTATACCGACGTCTGTAAGTTAAAAACAAAAATACACCAGGGATGGTGTGCAAACTTTTTATGAGATCTCATAATTCATAAGTGATTTTATCGATAGATCCACCAAGGATCTTTTTACGTGTGACTAAATTTGTTCAATTTATTCTGGCTATGCCATATCGTTATTCATATACATTGCTTTAACTGAGAATTTTATGTATTGATTGTCCTAACCTCTTTATCTAAAAGAATAAATTTGGTTTAACAATATTTATCTCATTCTGTGTATGCCAGATAAAAAAAATATTTGTTTGTCTGTGTACTTCCCATGATTTATTATAGATATCAACCTAGGAAATGAACAAAAGATTATTCTAACTTTGAAACAGTGACACCAAAAAAAAAAAAAAAAAAAAAAAAAAAAAAAAAGGGGGGGGAAGCTTTTTTAATACATTGTAGCAATACAAATCAATAATTGCCTTATATATAAGGGAGGGGAGATTAATACTGCTACATTATTTTTGTGCATGAAAATCAAAATCTTTTCTTTGCTCTGGATGATCTAAGATAATACACATTAACATATAAAACTAATTTAAATGCAGAATATAAAGTACCTATTTACATTTTTTCACAAAAACAAAATTAAAATGTTAATATATTTAATAAACAATAACTTTACTATTTTTATACAATTTATATGCATACAAATGAAGAAAAATAATTACAGTTTTTTTATGTTCTAGGAATTAAAAATTTAAAAACACACATTTTCTGTGCAACTGTGAAACTGCTCCTTCACACCTTTGACTACTTCAAAAAAGAGCTGGCCAACTCCTACTGAATGCTGCAAAAAAAAAAAAAAAAAAAAAAAAATCAAATAAGGAAAATACATTAAAAAGAGAAAGAATGATGCATATAAGACTGTAATCTCTTTCCTAAAAATGCTAATAAAATGAAACTAAGTATCAGTTGGTATACCGATATATCGAGTAAATAACAAAAAAATGGATAAAATTATAATATTTTTAACATCATTCGCTTATTTGTAATTAAGAAACTATTTTTCCTATAAGTAATTTTACTTGAAAGCTACAATTTTAAAAAAGAAAGAGGAAGAATGGAAAAATCCATCTATTAATTTTTATTACTTATATAAGTTAGCATCAAAAGGAAATAAAAAAAAATTATATACATATAAAAATTAATAATTTTAACATCAAATTAAAATCAGAAGCTAATTCAAGCAATACTATAAATAGAAAAAATTAGAAAATTAAATTAATTAATTAAATTAAAAAAATAGAAAATAAAATTATAACTAAAAAAAACAATTTTTTCACTTTTCAATAACAAATTACTTTTAAAATGCTTGGTAAAAAAGAAAGAATTTTTAGAAATTAAATATTTATGACATAAAATATATTAGAAATCTCTCATAACAATATTATGCAATTTAGTGAACTTTACAAAATTATTTTAAAAAACTTAAAAACTTAAAAAAAAAAAAAAAAAAAAAAAAAAGAATACTTAGGAATAGGAGATTAATAAATACCTCAGGTTTTAACTGCAGTTCTTTAAATATGAAACTAAACAGGTCTTCTTTATCTTGCACCTGCAAGAATTTTTTCAAGTCATTTTTATGCCTGTTTTTACAGATTTAAAATAGAAAAATAATACTGGATATAATTACGCTCACCTTCCTTATAAGAAAAGCAAAACTTTCAACAGCAAATATCCTAATGTGTTCCCTATTTGAATCACTTAACAAAGACGAAAATAACCTAAAGAACAAACAAGTTAATCAAAAAAGTTAATAATAATCTGCCTTTAATAAAATTAAAGATCACATACAACATGAAAATTTTATTAATATTTCTTCAAAAATTTCGACCAAGTTAATACCTGGTTATTTCGTACTTGTTTTAATTATTTCATATTTAATGGCTATTATTTTCATATTTTATTAATATTTAATGTCTTTAAACATTATTTTTCTTTTATGTCTTTAAACAACTATTCAACTTACAAAAATTTTATGCAATACATGTATATTAAATACATGCATTTATAAAGGGAATATTTCTAAGTTTGTTAAAAAATGAATAATATTTTTAGTTTTAAGTAAACATTTTACCAAATAACCCTGTATTACTTGCATAAAAGTTGGAATATCAAATTTTTATTCAAATAATTTAATTCTTTCTAGTGAAACATATGAGAAAGAGCAAAAAAACTACAGGGTTTAAATGTTCTTCAACAGTGACATACAGTAATAATCTCAAAATTAACAAGAACACTTTTTAAAGAAAATATGCAGTACTAGTATTTTTTTTCATAATGACAGAAAATAGATAAGGTGATACTAAAAAGAATCAAAATATCCTTCATATCTACTGCACTGGGTAAGTAAATATATTTGATTGTTTACTCATTTTGTTATGAAAAAAATAAATGTTACCTATACACATTCTTCATATCTTTCACCATATACCTCCATAAAAATTTGAAAAGATAGGCCAAACATGTAAACAGTTTTTCCAAAAGTTCTGTATCTTTTGTAGACAGATGCAAGGTGATGGCAGAGAAAAATTTAGGAAAATGAGGATAGAAGTCATATTGCAGGTCTCTTGCTAAAGCGACAGTCAACCTAGGAAAAAGGTAAGTATTTGAGACAAAATTTTAATTTACGGAAATTTTGAGAAATCACAGCATATGAATAATTAAGTAAAATAATTACAAATATATTACATAATGTGTTATTATTTGCATGAAATGTAGGTGAGTATTGTCATTGTAACATCATAGCTGCCAATTATGAAATCTTAAAAACTGGGAGAAACTAGGTTTTCATGCTGTGCAGCTATAGCATTTCAAAAGAACTTCAAACTGACTTTAATTCAACTTATAATGCATGATTCTGGTTACTGAGGTATTTATGATACAATTCTGATGTACAATATATTAGTGTTTAATTAGATAGGCTAAATTTTATATTTCTAGACAATTAATTTTTGAATTTTCTTACACTTCTACTGAGAAAATCCCAACGAGTGAAATAAAGCTTTTAATTATTACAACATTTTTAAATATCACAAAATAAAATTCATAATTAATGTACAAAGTATTTGTGAGGATAAACTTAGTAATTATCATATATTAATTAAGATGACTTAGATCAAATGAAATTTAATAAGATCAAATAAAATGCAAAAAGAAAAAAGTACAATTCAGATGAAATAAAATTTAGTAAGAGAATAGTTTGAAAATCATTAGAAGTAGAAGAATTAAATTTGCCTTATTTAAGTTTCATTAATTCAGTAAATTTTATTTATTGCTGGGAAACATTTTCTTTAATATATGTTAAAAATTAAACACTGAGAGATTGGGTGATCTACTGAGAGACTGAGGTAAAATCTGGTCTCTCAGAAAAACATCATGTCTATTAACAATTGCTAGAAATCTGCAGAAATGTTTGCGATGCATTTCATGGAGTTCAGCAGTACAACAATCTAAATTGATGGTTTCACTTTCCCCAAGAAGGATATGACAGATCATTCCCACCATATAAGCAAGAACACTTTTTGTAGGTGCATACATGTTTACGAAATGAACTGCCCAGTCCTGAGTTTTACACCTAACAAGCACATTAAACAATATTGTTCTTGATTCAATTCATATTCAAAACCAACATTTCCTAATCCTCTTTGCTTGAAGCCACTGCATATCACTGCAACAAATGCGTCAATTATTTATTGAATTTGACATTCAAAATTTACCTGAGACAGTAAAATGCTAGTCAGAATGAATGGTAGATAGAATTAAGGATTAGACTTCATCGGTTAGGATTTTTACTATCCTTATTCCTATCTACATTGCTCTTAGAAATTCTAGAAGGCAGCTTCAAAAAGATGGCATTTTCTTTCCAAGGTTTGGATCTAAGAATTACTTTGCATAGTCAAGCATCTCTGTCAACAGTTCACAATTCAGTAGCACTTTATTTCACATTATTTTGCACATCCATTGTAATCTAAGAAACGGTAGGTCTTCGATTTTACTTATATATGTTTCAATTTGGTTAAAATATTTGTCTACGTGATAACTTTATTAATGCTTTCTAATTTTTTGAAAAACAGAAACAAATCATATTTGCAGGAAGATCTTGAATCCTGCTACAAAACCAAAGCAGAACTAGTAATGGTATTTAAGATCGGTATCAGTGCTATAGCAAGCAGTATTTACTGATGGTGATAATAATAGTGAATAAGTAAAAGAAAATGAAAAGCATTATAAGTTTTCAAATTAATAATACAGTATAAAACACATGAAGGGCCCTTAATATTATTTATGGATTTCCAAATTATCAGAAAGTGCTTCAAAATCTTTCTGCATAATAAATTCAAAATAAAATAGCATATTGAGAAAAGAAATCAATGAAATTTTTTAGATATATTCAGTGTTGACTTAAAAAAACCAAACAAAAATAAATAGATAAATATATATACTTACTCCAATACAGCATCCAAAGCTAAGCTGCCTTCTTTTTTTAAATACTTAAGCAATATTTCAATAATTTCATCCTAGCAAAAATAAATAATAAGACATTTATTGAAAAAGTTGACGCGGAGCAAAGCACATGTTCTTGAACTCACCGATTTTGTCCAAATTCTGAATTACGATATAGAACCTTAACATGAAGTACCAATGTACATTTTTCAATCATAAGCAAGAAAACTAAGGCTAAAGTTTTAAATAAGATTCCTACTATTTTATTTCCTCACCTATGGAACTTTTCTAACAGTTTAGGCCATAGGTTGGTTTGGTTTATTTGATTATGGTAAAGCATTCAAGGGTTGTCCAAGAGGAGGGATGCCTTCATGGAGGACTTTCTAAGGGAAACTGGTTCGTATACACATTACACATGGGGAAAACCATGAAAAGGCCATGCAGCCAGCCCATTCGTTTTGATTGGAACCAAGCTACCAGTTTTCAGCGACGTTACCAATCGGCCACTGGTGGGCTTAGTCAAAGAGTCTTATTGTTGCAAGTTCCATATCAGATGAAATCTTGCAGCTGACAATACTGATATTAGAAAGCAAATTCTTTTAATTTTTTTGAAAAATTTATCTAGGGAAAAGGGCTTATTTAAAAAAGTATTTTTAAAAACATACAGAAAAAAAAAAAAAAAAAAAAAAAAGAATGACATAGTAGAAAATTTCATAAAAATATAATTTTTAATTCAATTTAAGTTCAAATAGAACTTATTTTTCTTTAATATGTATTTGCAAGTTAAAAAAAAAGTTAAATGATGTGAATGCTATTCAGAATTTTCACCCTTGGTTTTCTGCTTATGTCTGAGAGGTGTAAATTCTTACTTCACATGCATATTCATATTAAAGAGTATATGCATGTTAATGTAACCACTTTATTTAAGTACGGCAATTTTTTACAGAAGAAGAATGGTAACTAATATTTGTAAAAACACTATTTATTGTTATATGCACATAATGTTTTACAGAAGAAGAATGGTAACTAATATTTGCAAAAACATTATTTATTGTTATATGCACATTTTACATTTGAAATATGTATTTATCCAAAACTGGCAAATAAGTAGATTTATTAATAATAAATCTACTTATTTGCCAGTTTTAATTTCTGTTATTCTGAAAAATTTCTTAGTGATCGTTTGTGCAGGAAAATACATATTCCTGGAGAACATTTACAGGAACTTCCTTTATTGCAGGCAAACCACAATAGTGCATATTAGAAAACTGAATTTAAAACAAAAAATAACATAATTTATATATAAAAGCCTTTGGAATCTGGAATGCATGAAAAAGGACATAGACAAAAATGCCAATGATGCTCATTAACCCTCTAAGTGGCAAAGCCGTATATATATAGCTTAGAATATTTTTTGTGATAGTATATGGAGGAACGTATATATACGTACATATTAAAATATTTCAAAGAAATTAAGGCAATATACCAAAAGAAAACAAATTCAGGTATGAAATACCAGGAGAGTTTTTACATTAAAACCAAAAAATAATTTGTGCTCATAGTAGTTTGGGGAAATTTGTGCGTTCTTAGCGAAAACCCTGACTGCTCAGAGGGTTAAAACAGAATTATTATGTGCATGGTTGCCAGAGTTTAGCAATATTCTGGAAACTTGATGACTTCTAATAAGGTGGTTGTACTAACATGTAAGGCCTTTTAAGACCCTCTAAAATTATGCGGAGCCTTAGAGAAACCACAGAGTTTAAGAACATAAATTCACTTTGTAAAAATTAAAATTAAAATATATACATATTTATAGTTTGTTTACAATATAAAAAGATTAAATGAATGTACCTGTCTAAAGACAATTTGTGATAAATTTCGAATTTCAGGTCCAATCTCTTTTTGTAACTCTCCTGTAAAAAGATTTAAATCAAAATTAAAGTAACTGCAATTGGTAGCACATAAATATAGCATTAGGATAATTAATAAACTATAATATGGCATAAAGGTTATCTGTATATTTTACACCTGAGATTCAATGAATGGTCAGAAAAAATTCTAGAAACAAAACGTTTCTGTACTTTATACATGTCAATTACGATGCAATAAGATAAAACAATGGCATCATAAAATATCTTTAAAGGTTTTTAATGCATTTTCTGAGTTAAGATCTCATAGTGCAGTACTCTCAAACTAGTGAATCATGGGCTGAACCCAGCCCTCGAAGCAATTTTACGTGGCTTGAGAATACACTTCAACTGCTTATTTGCTGCAAATACAATACTTACAGACATAGAGATATGGACTGAACTCGTGTGTGACAGTTATTGAAGAAAAAAAAAAAAATATGATGTGGACACTACATGACTTTCTTATATGCCTATTAAATTAAATATATTTTTTGCTGCACTTCATTTAAACTTATTTCTTTGAATTGTTCTAACTTAATTAACCGATTCCTCAAGGTAAGTTGATAATACCATCAAAAACCGAAGATTTTTGAAAATAAGTATCCCAGTCAATTTTTGTACAGAACATCTTGTATTTTTATTTTTTCATAATGAGCATAAAACTTTACCAAATAAATATAGAAACTTGGAAAGTGCATTAAAAGTTAGATTTCATTATTTGTCCAAAATTTTTTTTTTTTTTTTTTTTTTTTTTTTTTTAAACTTTGAAAGTGCCAAAACAGGAATATTTTTGTCATTTAAAACATGTTTGTAATTGGAAGTATATGTCTATGACCAACGATTGGCTTACAGTGTACTGGACGGTATAGTGAAATTATTGGAGCTGATTTTGGTAATCAAATTATGACATTCCTCTAGATGATGTTGTGATCGCATGTGTCCAAAAAAATCTCAGATATTTACTGCAATTTCAGTTCTGTTTAAAGGCCTAAATTCACCTTTTTCTTAACATACATTATTGCTTTCTTTTTAAGAAATGTTTTAATTTTAAGGTGCCTTAAGTAAGATAAGAAGAAGGTTGTTTTTTTTTATTTGGTTGCATACATTACTGAAATTCTATAATTTTTAATACTACTCCTTTGATTGATTCAAGTGACTTCTGATATTTCCAATAATAATTTTTATTTCTTAGAGGAAAATGAAATTTCTAAATGGTAATACTATTTATAAATTGTAAAAATACAAAAAAAAAAAAAAAAAAAAAAAAAAAAAACAGAGGAAGCTGTATAATTAGAGATCTTTATTACCTTTATAAGTTTGTCATTTCCTAATTTTGATACTGTATACTCTTAATTTAAAACTTGAATTTTGGTTTAAACAAACTTTTTGGTAAAAGAATTAACCAAACATTTCTTGGAAGTAATAAACATAAAAATTTCACTTATTGAGCATTATTTGATAGTTAAATTCTCCATAAAGTTACAAAAGTTTATTGTCCTGTATTTGTTCTGGTATTTTCACTATTTAAAATCATTTCAAACAAATATTTAAAACAATTCCATAACATTATGCTACTTACGAAAAAAGGTGCACTATACAGAAAGCTCAAATACCAAATTCTGGATAGTTAAGTGTTATAAAATATGGAACTCAAAAAGCAAAATAAATGAAGAAAGAAGTTTCTGGTCTAAAATTATAAAATGCCATCGTATTTGCTATCAATTTGAATATCAAAAGTCGAAACTAAAATTTATAACATACCATAAATAGGAAATGTTGTGCAGTCTCCATGTGCATAACATTAAACAATTTAAAATTCAATTTATATGAATTTCAAGTAAACATTGTACATTTAATTGGTTTTTATACCCAAGTCCTTTACAGTAAACTGCAGTTGATAATATTATAAGGTTATTATTTGAAAAAAATTGAAATAACTAGGTATTTATAATTTCAGCCTTAACTATAATTTCTCCTTTCTGCTTCCTCAACAGAATGCAAATCAGTTAGAGAAGTATTTAAGCTGAGGTTTTTGATTGTATGACAGACTGCATTTCTGCATGCACATTACAATAGTTTTTAGAAGCTCTGATAAGTTTGTAATTATTTGGCTTTGCATTATCGCTACCAACACTTGAATTTGCTGAGCTAGCTTAGATTAAACTTAAAATTGTATAGTCTTTGACTACTAGTCTATGTTTTAAATCAAAATATGATTGTTACTTTATTTTCATCTCCATGAGTTATGGTTGACTTTGCTAGTATATGAACTTGCATTTGAGTTCAAAGTTTATGTTTAAATAAAAAAAAATATTCTAAACTTTTCCAAGACTTTATAGTTAATTTCAGACAAAGTAATAATTCGCTTTACGTCTGTTAGGGTTTAAAACTAATTCAACATCTATCAGATACAGGAAAAACCTATCATACACTAAAAAAGAGTAATAACATGTTTTAACAAACAGAAGAAATATTAATAAGTAAACAAAATAAAAGCTATTTCTAATTTAGTAATTATTTATTACAAATATATCAACCAGGTTGAGAAAATGTTTCTTAGTATCAAGCTTGAAGTTTTAAACATTTCTAGATTTGTCTGTTAAAAATGCTCTGTGCAACAAAGTGCATGTCCTTTAGTAGGCAGGGGTTAAAAATAAATGTACATGTAACCAGTATTTGAATAAATTCTACATATATTTTTCAAAGAAAAGTGTAATCTTTTTTTTTTCTCTCCTAAATTAATATTATAACAGTTAAGTTTTCTCTGTATTAAATTTTTTGTTAACACTTTAAGCAAGAGGCATGGTTAAAAAACAGTACAAAAATGCACATCTGATTCCAAGACTTTTCATGGAAATGAGAATAAACACTAGTAAAACTTAAGATCCTTACAGAATGGGCCATAATGCTTAAATTAACTTAAAATGAAAGTATGACCATAATGCTTTGTGTGAATTCGTTTTCTACGTCACTTGATGAGAGATAGTATGGTCAAAGCCTTGGTACAAAAGCCGAACTACTCTAGCATTCAACTAAGTGGAAGCTCAGGTAACTGGAATATTTTAGAAACTCCACCCCATCTGAGTCTTCAGGTTACCCCCCAAGTCTTCAGGTTAAAAATGATGGGATGTGTTGGCTCCCATTTACAAAGACCCTACCTCTGTCCTCTTAGGACTGTTTCCATTCGCAATTTTATGGCGTTTGAATATCCAATAAAACCAAGGCAATGATTGTGCTGTGAATTCGTGTTTATGCATTACTGGAGTTAAATCACACTGTTTGGTGACACAATCACAATGTCCTTTCTGTGATTTGCAATAGCTTTAAAAAATACCTTATTTGGTTATTTTTTCAGATGGGGTGGAGTTTCTAAAATATTCCAGTTACCTGAGCTTCCACTTAGTTGAATGCTAGAGTAGTTCGGCTTTTGTTGTACCAAGGCTTTGACCATACTATCTCTCATCAAGTGACATAGAAAACGAATTCACACAAAGCATTATGGTCATACTTTCATTTTAAGTTAATTTAAGCATTATGGCCATTCTGTAAGGATCTTAAGTTTTACTAGTGTTTATTTTATTTTAAAACTTTACTATCCCTTCTTATTTTCCACTTCTGGCGAGAATTAAATGTGTTAACTTGTTTATGCAAATTGTACTTGCTAACGCCCAAGTATTTCAGTTGTGGCTTTTTGCCAAGAGTTAGAGAGAGAGAGAGAGGAAGTGAGCCACCTTGCCACTGCATTACACGCGAGTTTTCAATCACCTGCTGTTTGCCTTTAAGGCCAGAGGTTTAGTCCTCTTGATATTTTAAAACATATTGGAGTTTCAGCAGGTTGTGTACTACATTCGTAATAATTTAAAAGGCCAGTCTTAGAGTTAGGCATTTGTAAACTAATTCAAAGTTAACTCTTATTTAAAATTTTAGTTAGTAGTTTTATATTTTTATGTTCAGACCACAAGTGGTTGGTCTCCGCATCCCAAAGTGCGGGAGCACCTGTAATCTTATAGAGAATAAAGGGTAAAGTCAAACCCTTCCTGCTGGTGTCCATTTCACACATATTTGAACAGAGCTTGAGTAAGCTCCCTGTTCCTATTCAGGACACATCTTGTTTCCAAAGCAGATAAAAAGGAATACAAGTCCTGATAATTAATTTCATGAATGCTAAAACGTGTATACTGTTTTTGCCCTGATGAAAATTTGTATAGTATCAAATATTTCAATATTAGGAAAAAAAGTGGCAGATGTCAGCGATTTTAAACAAACATCAATGTGACTTCGATGGGGCAAGTGCACTAACAGCATCCTGTATGAAATAAAGAAGAAATTATTACTCTGTTTTAACATGGTGTCTACGATCTGATAATCCTACTATAACTTCTAGTGCACTATAGCCGGGTAAGATGTTTAAGCATGATAAGGAGGTTGAGTATTTTTATGTACACCTTGCAAAAAAAAAGGGGGGGGACAGTTCTATATCTCTTACTGGACCGACTGTGAAAATTTAACTTGCGTTTTCTATGTCTTGAAATTGTGACTTAGGATGTACATTAGATTTATATACAGTCAAAAGTCTTTAATCCGGATTCGTCGGGACTTCAGCGATTCCGGATTATCGGTTTTTCCAGATTATAGATCATCAGTTTAAATCTGGTAAGGTGGCATGCAGAAATTATAAAATTAAAAATATGAAACTGTAATTTATGAGATAAAGAGCAATTATGATCTAAAGGGTATCAAAATTTACAAATAAAAAATAAATAAATAAATAAATAAAAAATAAAAAAAAAGCTTAATATTTATTTGTTTACTTTATTGAACATTTCTTTCAATGCGCGCATGCGTAAAGCATACATTACGCATAGTTGAAATTAGAAAATTGCAACCAGAAAACTATTTGATGTATATTCGTGATATTTCTAATGATGAGGAATTTGATTTAAATCATATCAAAGATGGAGTACATCGAGATGAAATACTACATTTAGTAAGGAATTATAAGCTGAATAAAATAAAAACATCTGCCCTGAAGATAAGGATAGTGCTGACAGATCAACTTCCAGTTTATTGCGTGCAGCGTGACCCCCCCCCCCCCACACAGAGCAGCGTGAAATTGATAAACATATTTTGGAATTGTAAGAGAATCAAAGGATATGCCTTTATCCATTTTTTGCAGCAATTGCACTTTTTGTTTGATGGAATCGAAACATGCTTTCGCTTTGTAGATCTTTTGGTAGCACCACAATCAAAAATTCTTTTTGACATAATCGAAAGTTCAAGCTTACTGTTATAAAATTGCTCTAACAGTCTGCAAAAAATAATTAGTGGATCCAATTAGAAGATTAAGGAACAACGCAATCTGCAACATTAACTGAAATAGATAATTAGATAATTTTAGCTTAACTTATACCATCTGTTATACATTAAATGCGCATGTGTAAACGTATTATGCGCATGCGTAGATGCATATCTGCATATGTAAAGGTATTATGTGCATGCGCAGAAAGTTTGTAGCTTTGAGGTCCGGATTATAGATCATTCCGGATTATGGACGTCTGGATTAAAGACTTTTGACTGTATAGCATTGTTCTAAGAAAGGTATTTTAACATAAAATGGGACTTTTTCTGAAATAAAATACCAATTTTTTCTCATATTTTAATTCTATGACTCAAATTATGCACAAATATTAAATTTTGTAATTTTTGGTGAGGAATTTATGGAAAAATTTAAAAATTTAACTTCGTGCATTTTTTCAGTTTATGCCAAGAATAATTCACTTGGCAAACTTCTCAATTTATAACAACCTATTATCCTTTCCTTTTTTCCCCCTTGTACGTAGGTGGAAAAAAAAGAGGGTCATCGTTCATATTTTCAAATAATTTTAACAAAGTGTGTAAACCACATTATGCATTATTATTGCTTATAACAAATATGCCCAAATTTCAAAACGTGTCAATATGGACATTCCTGTATATGTTGGGAAATTTTGAATAAAAAACTGTTTTTTTGCAGGTATGCTTAGAAATACATCTACTTTAAGATGATAGTGAAAATTTTATAGGTAATAATTCAAAATTTTTTTCAAAAAAATTTATAAAAATTATTTAGAAACATAAATTTTACAAATAAATCATGAAAAATGAGCGAATTTTATTTGGAATGAACCTAAATTTCGAAATGTGAAAAGAAGAATCAAATAGGTTTAATAAAAAAAGAAATATAAATAAATATATACCAAATTCAATTAGCATGTAAGACGAGGACCCATATTTTATTTAAAATGTTTATCATTAATTTAATAATTTATTAAATTTTTATTCATTTCTTTATATTTTATTGAATTTTAATCATCAGTAATTTTCTTTCTTCGTTTGTTTTCCTTTGTGATGGTTCCAGCATTTCTGGTTTTAGAGATCCTGAAGAGGAGTGAAAAAAAAAATTATATTTTATGAAAAAGGTAAGTGCGTTATATTTTTAACCTATCATATACTCCTTAGTTAACAATTAAAATTTACATTTTAAATTGTTAAAGCATGTCCACTTCAAATGTTGATGTTTGCCGACTTATGATAAATATCGATAACTTGGGAATCTTTTTAATAAAAGTATCAAAATCCACCACCTTTTACTTTTCATCTGCAAAACATTACCAATCTGCAACGAAGTGACTGTGTTAAAACTTAAGTACCTAAGAAACTAAATGCAGGAAATAAATACAAGTGTAATTTTATCACATTCTAATTTTTTTTAAAACATTTTTCTTCCCCCCCCCTTTTTTTTCATTTTCTGCTTGACAGTTTTTTTACACCATACAATTTGTGCTTAATAATTTATGCATTACATGGTCATAATAACATAAAGGTATAAAAGCTCGATTCTAAGACCTCCAGAAATGACGATATAACAGGAAGATCTATTTTGACAGAACCAATGGCTGATGATTTAAATATATTACTTTTTACAATATTAGTTCTCAAGATTGTCTGACAAAACAATAGATAACAAAATTATTACCAATAGCTACAGTTTTAAAAATTCCACCACTTCTTGCAAATTTTATGGTACTTTTCCTGTATGCACCCGTCACACATTTTGGCAGTACTATTGTAATAATATTATGTATGTGTGTGTTTAATTATTCCAGTAAAAGTATACAGTGAAAGGTCATTAATTCGGACACCCATAACCAGGAATGATCTATAATCCTGACCTCAAAGCTAAAAACTTTCTGCATATGCGCCGCGTTGACACATGCGCATAGGCGTTTACGTGTGCGCATAAGACCTTTACGACTGTGCATATGCATGTGAGCAAGCGCAGAATACATTTTCGCTTGCGTGTTTTATGTATAACGGACGGTATAAGCTAAAATTATCTAATTATCTATTTCAGATAATGTTGATGATTGTGTTGTTCCTTAATGTTCGAATTGGATCTGGCTTATTATTTTTTGCAGACTGTAAGAGCAATTTTATAAAAGTAAACTTGAACTTTCGCTTATGTCAAATAGAATTTCTGATGCTGGAGCTCCCAAAGGATCTACAAAACAAAAGTATGTTTCGATGTCCATCAAACAAAAAGTGGAATTGCTGCAAAAAATGGATAAAGACATGAAGAAGGTGACAGAGAGGTTAGTGAAAATGAAAAAATTTCTATTGACAAGTTAGTCGGTATTCTCGGCACAGCAATTACGGGACTTGAACAGCGGAACTTTGTAACTTAACAAGAAATTATGTCTATTTATAGAATTAAAGAGAAAGTATTATCACATAAAACGAAGCAAGTTAAACAACTTACATTGAAAGAAATGTTTAATGAAGTAAACAAATAAATATTAAGCTTTTTTTTTGTAAATTTTGATACCCTTCAGATCATAATTGTTCTTTATTTCATAAATTACGTTTTCATATTTTTAATTTTATAATTTCTGCATGCCATCTTACCAGATTTAAACTGATGATCTATAATCCGGAATCGCCGAAGTCCCGACGAGTCCGGATTAACGACTTTTGACTGCATTTTAGAATACCCCTTGGCAAAACTTGGCGGTACATGAATATCGAGTTTGTGCAATTCTTTGACTTATTATTTTGGCTTGCATTATGTCAATTTTTGCTCCCAAAATCGCCACTACACAAAGCCAAAATAAAAAGACAAAGAATTGCACAAACTTGGTATCCATGTACACATCGATCAATTTTTACTTTAAAAAAACTGGATAATGTTTAGATTATGGTAACTTGATGATTTTTTGGCGAAAATTTGGCGACCAACCCTGCTACAGCTTATTTTTTTGGGATGCCATTTTGTTTTCTCGAAGTAAAGGCATGTTTTTTTTTTTTTTTTTTTTTTTACTCAACATTTTTTCCAACAATCTACTAGCCGAATTACGCTTATACTAGAACTTTTATGGAACAAAAGTAGCTTAATCATGACGAAAGATTCAGGTGTGAAATTGGGTGAGAAGAGTGCAGAATCGCCCTCTGCTTGCCGCGTTTTTAAGAATTGCAGATACACGGTATCCATGCACACGTCGACCTATTTTCACTTAAAAAAACATCCCAGAATTGCACAAAAATGGCATAGCGCACAGTCTTGACTTTATCTATGTACACTGCTAAAGTCCTAGCTAGTAACCTTTATCGCCTTACCAAAATGTCGCCAAACTACTTGTTACCATATTCCAAAGATTAGCCAAAAAATCCCTGAATTGCACAAAAATGGCATTGCGCACTCCCTTGACTTTATCCATGTGCATATCGACCTATTTTCACTTAAAAAAATTCTAAGAATTGCAGAAACTTGCATTGCGCACTCCCACGTTCTCCATGTACACACCGATATATATTTTCACTTATAAAGTCAAAGGAGCACCCAATTCTATAATACAGGCAAACAAAAAATACATAATCTCAATAAATTACATTTTTAACCAAACAATAAAATAACATGTTATATATTTAAGCACTACAAAAAGCAAATATCCACTTACAATATTTAGAAGTTCCTTCGTCTTTAGTGTGCGGCACACAAAATTCCTTAACAGCATTAGAAAACTTCCTAAAATTATCAGAACTCGAATTCGTATACTGGCGTCGCCACAACTGAACCTTTCTTCCTACAAACCCATTCAAATCCATCTAAACGGTTTTTACGTTCGACTAGACACATATCCTTCCCACAAACAGGACATTTATAATGGCTACTAAGTAAACCTTCATTTACGCATCAGTCAATTAATGCTCTTTTCCCCTTTTGTTCCAAATCGTACAGAAACTTCTAATTAATCTTAATACATTCAGCCATTCTACCGTCTAAACAATAAAACCAACACACACCACAAAAGCACTTACAAAATATCTCATGATTCAAAATTTCCCAGAATCATGCACCCGATTACATCAAAATAGGGTTTCCATAACATTCAACTACTCAGGCTACCATAAATGAAACAAGAACTTCGCCATAATACAAAGGGTGCCTTAAAGTCTACTCTAACTATTGTTCCTGTTTTTATATACATACACATATACATGCATTGTCCCTAGATGGTGCTATCGTTGGGTCTCAGCATGTGTTTGCTTCTCTTTCAGACACCAAGAAGTGTGGCAGATGCATAACGGAAAAGTACCAGTTAACGTTTACTGCAATGTTTCAAATTTGGCTATCAAACCTTGATAAAGCTGCAAATTATTAGATCACCATGTAATTAATTCATATATTCACAAACAAGTAAAAATTTAAAAAACAGTACACTTACCATAATCTTGTGTGTAATTGAGATCGACCCACTTTTCAATTGCTTCCAGGAAGAATGTATTGGCCTCATCAGGAGAAGCAGAAATCTTACCAATTTGATGAATAACATCAATATTTATGTTACTGATGCGCTCAGCAAAAGTTAAGAACTGAAAAACAGAATACTCATATCAGATATAAGAACATTAACCTCATTGATAGTCATTAAAATCAGACCAAAAAAGACCCACTTAAGAGCTTTTTGGATAATTTAACTAATACATATACTTTATTGTTTTAAGTATTTAAGTAATACATATACTTTAATGTTTTACGTTCTAATACGTGATTTTTTATCTGCAGTAGCATACTTTGCTTGTTATCAATGGATATAACTGTTGAGTTTACAAGCAATCAATAAATTTAGTATTAAATATTACAAAATATTAATCGCGCGAAAAGATAAAATATTTATATGCACATTATTTTATGTTTTTCAAAAGGAAAAAAATGCGATCGCAGATAAAAAATATGAAAGATTATAAACAATTTGATCACATTTTAATTAAAATATATAATAATAGAATTTTTTTTTAATTAATCTTTTTTATTGCTGTGCTAAAGAAACATAAATAAAAACACATACTTTAAATGTATTTTGATTTTTGTGAGAAACCGGCTTATCTTTCATTGTGAAAAAATAATTTAAGACAATTTTCTAAGATATCTGAAATTTACATTCCCAAAACAATTCACACGTGTATTTACATCCAAACAAATTTCACAGGTTTTCTTTGGTGCACCTCTAACTACAGTCTTTTTACTTCAATAATAGAAAATTAAATTAGTACAATTGAAAGTGAAGATAGTCAAAGGGCAAAAATGAAGTATGAAAGTTTTCCTCCTGGTTTGCAGAAAATAGTGGTAAATTTCTCATCAGCGAAACTTCTATGGATTCTAGCAATTTTAGATAGTTCTAAAACCGGTATATTTAGGGTACATGCCCATAAATGGTGGCAACTATCGATTTAGGCAACGTTTTGTCGTACTCATAGTACTCAGGGTACTATGTTAGGTTAGGTTAGGTTATTTAATTAAGGCAAAGACTCGAGGGCTATCTGCCTAAGGGGAGGGATGCCTTCGTAGAGGACTTTAGAAGGAAAATTCTCTTGTTGGGGAAAACCACGAAAACCCTGGGGGAAACACCACGAAAACCAGCGCGCACCGGCCCTAAGAACTCGAAGCGACGAACTACCAGGTTCAGAGGCTAGCGGGGCCGCTGGTGGTGCAGTGCTAAATCGCACCGACGGTGCTAAGAGGCTATTACACCTGTTATATACTAGACGGAGCATCGCCATTCAAAACCGGGTGAAAAAGTGGCACATGAGCTGCAGGAGTTTGGGCATGAAATGGAACTGAATCCAGACTTTGGCGTACTATCGCCGCTGGCGATTTTTTCCTCTCCTCTCAGTTCGAAATGCGAATTGGAAGTCGTCATTTCGCAGAGGCGCCGTTGAATTTGCAGAAGATAGATCGAAACACCAGCCAAAATTAATAATTTCCCTAAAATGGACACTCTATTTTAAAATTTAACTTATTTTAAATTTTATTTTTAAAATTTAAATAATTTTCATGCTGTAGAATATTATTATGCATATGTCCATCGGCGTCTACAAAATTTTAAATAAAATAAAAAAAAAACGGGAGAACAAACTAATAAATAATATACTAACAGCAAACTAAAAAATAAATAAGTAAAATAAAATAAAAAGAAGGTTTTTAGTACTTAGGACAGAATAAAATAAAAAAAATAATAAAAAAAAGAATGAGTGAAAATAGAAAATAGTACAAAAAGGAAAATTTAATATTAATACGAAAAGGAAATTTAATACGGTGTATTACAGAGAATACAGAGTAGGCAAAACAAAGTAAGAAAGATATTAAATAAAGTGAACTAAAAATGAATGTCAATATATACAGATATAAGTTAAAAGGAAAGAGAGAGTGGTAAATAATTAATTATGAAAAAAGGTGGTAAATTAAGACCTTTTACTAGCAAATATATATTATATATTATATATATATATATATATATATATTATGCACGTTGCACAATGTAGTATACTTTTTAAATAATTTTAGAAGGTAAAATTTAAATAATGTTCATTATTTTTTAAAAAGAAACTTAAAAACTATTAAAGTTTTGAAATTTAACTGCTATATAATTGCTATTTCTTAATACTTAACAAATTATTAATATTTGAAAAAATGCCAGAAACGATATAAGAAAGAAAATACGTGATTGAAGGTAAACAAATTTGTTATATTTGGATGCAAGAAAAGGGATAAAATAAGTCATTCATAAAAAAACATAATTTTATGCAGTTCTTACACAGTGTTACATCATCATTACCAAGTATTAAATACATACATTACTACTTCGCACATGTCCGCATGAGCAACGCATACATACAAATATATATAAACAAACGTATTCAAAGCAGTCTGTTGGCGTATAAAAATGTCGCCAAAGCAGAATACTAGACTAATTAAAATTATATTGTATTACTAAAATTTTAACATTTTTTCAGAAACAGTTATTAGAAACATACATATATAATTAAGATACTTTTATTTAAATGTATTTCAAGTATGCATATATTAATAAAAATTAGGAAAATAATTTATATTAGAAAAGGCACTATAATGGATAAAAAAAACCTATTTTATAAAATATTAGGTTTAAAACAACATTAAAAAGCTCAGTTGTGAAATGTTACTCCTCCATCACATATCGGGAATTACTCCATATTGACCAGCACGAAATCATTTTTGAAGTCCGAAACAATGCGCTTACACGCAAAACACTTGCTCTTTCTCACAAATTCTCCATAGAACTGTAATGGTAAGGAAGATTCGCGGGAAATAAGATGTGGGAAATGTTCCAAACGTCACGTGGTTCGCATTCCTGTTCCCCTTCAGGGTTGCCGTTTCTCTCTCTAGTACATTACAGCTCTATGATTCACACAACCTAAGTTCGCGCATGCGCACAATCAGCCCAGGTACCAGCATTTTATTCCGATTTCCACGAGGAAGGCTGTAGCGAGAGGCTTATTCACAAAGCCTACAGACCGTTTCTGCTGCTGTTTGCTCCGATTGTTTAAAACAGGAAACGTAGGGTTACAGAATCTAGGGCTTGGCTGGCGACTTTTGGTTCATCGCCTTTACAATTTGTATTTGAGCGTCGTGTACCAAAAAGTTATCAATAAGTCTTTCCCAGAAGCCATCAAAACCAATAATAGTCCTTCACCCTATCTCACAGCAGAAGCAAAAAAGATCTTTGAGGACTTAAACACTTTGGTTACTTTCCTGAAAAGTTCAGGAATCCAACTCCTTGCACAAACGTTCGTCAAAATGCTGCAAATACAGGATCAGATGATACTAACACCGACCAGAAAGTTCAATAAGTCAGATCCGCTTTGTTGTTGGAATACTGCCGGCATTACAAACAAAATTTATGAACTTTCGGGCTTTCTTATAGAATAGAATATCGATATCGGCATGATCTCTGAAACTCATGTCATTCCTGCCGATAGATTGTATGTATCCAACTATCGCACCTACAGAGGTGATAGACTCCCCCAACGACGAGGAGGAGTTGCTATCCTAATTTAAAATTCTCTGCAATCATGCCTAATCTCTACTGGATATGGAACACTTCTACTGGATATGAAAGTGTGACCGTTGCCGTTGTACTCCCGGACTTTGGAACCATTCATTTTACAGCTATTTATAATCCACCACGCCATAGACTCTCTGAAAGTCTGAAAAAAATTTACTTCCTGACGATTATCAAGTTATCTTGCAGGAGACATGAATGCCAAGCACCTCGAATGGGGCTGTCATAGGTCTAACACCAATAGACGTATATTGCATAATTTCATCTGCAATCATCCGATTGCATTACATATTTCTTCTGAAGCCTTCTCAGTCCAGCTACACCAAATTATCGTCCAGCTACACCAAATCACTCAGACATCCTAGATATCATCCTTACTAATACTTCCAACTCTATTTCCTTAGAAGTCAAAGCAGAACTCACTTCTGATCACGTGCCTGTTATTGCCTCGTTTGGTGTTTCAAAAGAAGACCCTCCTATTACCAGAAATAACACAGATTGGAAATAATACAGCCTTTCACAATATTTTAATCAAACATCCACCAGTTTTCGCTTCGCTCTCCAACAAACAGGATACAGATCTTACCATACAAATCTTCACGGACAGTATATTGAAAGCCTTCAGAGATGCAACTGTTACGGTTCAATTAACTAACATTAATATTTGTCTCCCAAGCAGTATCAGAGACATCATCAAAGAAAGAAACAGAATGTTGAAACTATGGCACCGTAATTGGAACCCTGCCCTTCCCCTTCGAGCCGGGTAGCGAAAACGCGCGCTTATCGCGGAGGCCGTCAGTGTCTTGCGGGAGCGTCTCTGCAGGGCCGGGGGCTTTTTTGCTACTAAGCCTAAATCCATGAAATTTCCGAAGTATCAACGAATTGTTTAATAATGCTCTATAGAGTATTTAAACGGCTTATGCTTTACAGATATTTATATATATATATACTTTAATTACCTTATTTCTTGTTTAAATGCATATTTTACACATTTTATTTTAATTACTCACCATTTTATGACTTTTAACATTATACATCTGAAAAACTAAATATATTACTTAAAATTCTCTTTTCGTATGAAAAATTTTAAAACAGGGATCTACACACAGTCCTACGTTACATTCCTTGAACTCGTAATAACTCGTAATAACTCGTAATAACTCCTTGGAAACAGGCTAAGATCTTTCTCCTTCCCAAACTGGGTAAGGATGCGACTAAACCTAATGGTTATCGTCCAGTCAGGTCTTGGTAAAATTTACGAACGTCTTATACTTACAAGATTAGAACCATTTCTTCATCTTTCACTTAACGATTAGTACGGCTTCAGGAAAAACCTAAGTACAACTTGCCAACTTGTAAGAATTGCAGAATTCGTCGGATCTGCATTCCACAATATGCAAAATGTTGCGTTCCTTATGTTAGACGGAGCCCACCAGCGGCCGAGCGGTAACTCATTTACCGTTTTGGAGGATTTTTCCGGGAATGTGAACAAACGAAGCATCGTCGTATCATTTTCTTATCAGTCTCTTCCGAACAAAGTTTTGGAAAATGTCTTTCAGTTAATCTTTCAGAATCAATATCAGAATCTCAGAATCAATATCTGAAATATTTTGCATTTCTGCTATTTCATGCTCTGTTAAACATTTTCGACGCTTCGACATTGAAACGGTAAAAACAGAAAGAATTCACGTCTAACAAGATCTAATTATTTTCTAAAAACTGAACTGTAAACCGAAATACTCAACGCTTTAGCGCATATAAAACTTCTACTTACAATAAACAACTACCACGTGCGAATAAAGTGCGATTTAAAGAGACGTCATAAATCATGCCATTCGGAAACATTTAGTTCTCCGTTTGTTTATATAATCAAAAACACGTGTATGTGAGTCATGCTTCTCTCATTTCGAGTAGAAGGTGTAATGTACATGTATCTGAAACCATATGGACATACAGTGCCATCTTGTGACAGAAATTATAGTTTGAAAAACGTTCCAAGGTACTGGCACAAATACGTGACAGTCGGTAGAAAACGCAACAATGCTCTGGCACGCCTGCGTGTCGGCCGGTAGATAAGTGTGTTCGTTGCTGGCACATATACGTGAC